TAGCTACCTACATACTCAGAGAAATCATATCTTTCTCAACGGAAATATCTCCCACTGTATACACTGTGTTTCTTGATAATGAGCAAGCGTTTGATCGCATCTGGCACAACGGATTACTCCTGAAACTATTCATCCTCGGTATTCAAGGGAAAGCCTGGCAAATAATACGTCAGACGTACTTCGAATCTACTGCATGTGCCAGATATGCTGGAGAGACAAGCTGAACGTTCCCAATCGGACAAGGTGTAGGGCAAGGACGCGTCTTATCCCCATGGATGTTCACCTTGACGAATTAAAAGAAGGTGTTGTGTGTGGACGTGACCACTCCTCAGTAGTCCTACTCGCGGATGACACAACCCTCATAAACTCAACAAGTAGTGATCTATGTATTCACGAAAATGCATATGAATTAAATGTTATATATACATGATGGAAATGCTCACCAAGGCGGAGCCTTCTCTTTATTATCACTTGCGGTGTAGGCCTGTGCATACCCCATATAAATATCTGTCATTTTGAAAAAGTAACGAAATAATAAATCAAAAGTTTGTATTTGATGTTTTTTTTATTTACTGTGTAATAGTCAAATATGATGCCAAAGCTGTCGGCTCTGTAGATGTGGACTTGGTTTATGCTCCTCTGCTTCATGCCTTGTTGACAGATCTCGCAGTGGTTACGTCAACAGCCTTAAGTTACTGACGCACACGATGTACGATTGAATGTGCTTTTAATAAGGTTGTCCAGATGGTGAGACTGGAACTACAGGGAAATACTGCAATGCTGTCAACACAGCTAGATAAGATCAGTTTTAGAAATATATAACTCTTGTAGCTGAATAGCAGTACCAGGCGCCTTTCAAAAGTTCATCAGTAATAAAGTAGATCTCTTGGCAATAACGAAATGCACCAACACGGCGTTTCTTTTATCGACCAGGAATTCTGAAATAATTAGTATTCTAGTACAGCGTTAAATTGCGGAAACTGTGGAAACGTATACATGATAGATTGGAAAAGAGAACGATCGCCAGCATACCCACGAACTGGATGACCTACATACTATTTAATCCAATACTAAATGACCCCGATGCTAGATGACCTGCATACAATATATATATATTTATATATATATATATATATATATATATATATATATATATATATATATATATATATATATGACATATACTAGATGACTTAAATACTTAATGATCCAGATACCAGATAACCAATATATGACCAACATACTAGATGACCTACATACGACATGCTCCAAGATATATTATAAGCAACGATATAGCCTACATACAAGATGACCTACGCACAAGATTACTCAGACATATACGTTCGCATGCTAGATGACCTGATACCGTATGACCCAGACACTAGATGACCTACATACATGTATATATGACTTACTTAGTAACAGGGCGGTTGGGTAGCATAATGGTTAAAGCGTTCACTCGTCACGTAGAGGACCCGGTTTCGATTCCTGACATGGGTACAATGTATGAAGCCCATTTCTGGTACCCCCGCCGTGATATTGCTGGAATATTGCAAAAGGCGGCGTATAACCAAAACTCACTCACTCAGTAACTGATCAAGATACTTCATGAACTAAATACCATGTGACCTAGATACAAGATGACGTAGTTCTAGATGACCCAGATTCGAGATTACCAAGATACCATGATGTTATAGTCTTGTTGACTTACATATTGGATTACCTACAAACTAGATGAACCTGATGCTAGGTTAACCAGATACTATATTAAGTAGATACCAGATGAATAACAAAAACGTCACCCGTGGTGTAGGTTTGCCACACAACTGGGGCATGTCTGTACACCTTGGAGCAGACACTTCCTAGGTCCTATTTGAGACGAAACCCTGAGCCCAGTTACACTTGGATACCTACAACATTCTAGGTTACGTCTGGGGGAAGACAGTATCCCATGATACGTCTGGGGAAAGACAGTGTCCCATGTAACGTCTGGGGAAAGACAGTGTCCAATGATACGTCTGGGGAAGACCGTATCCCATGATACGTCTGGGGAAAGACAGTGTCCCATGTAACGTCTGGGGAAAGACAGTGTCCAATGATACGTCTGGGGGAAGACAGTGTCCCATGATACGTCTGGGGAAAGACAGTGTCCCATGATACGTCTGGGGAAAGACAGTGTCCCATGATACGTCTGGGGAAAGACAGTGTCCCATGATACGTCTTTGGGAAGACAGTGTCCCATGATACGTCTGGGGGAAGACAGTATCCCATGATACGTCTGGGGGAAGACAGTGTCCCATGTAACGTCTGGGGAAAGACAGTGTCCCATGATACGTCTGGGGAAAGACAGTGTCCCATGTTACGTCTGAGAACAGACACTGTCCCATGTTACGTCTGAGAACAGACACTGTCCCATGTTACGTCTGAGACTAGACACTGTCCCATGTTACGTCTGAGAACAGACACTGTCCCATGTTACTTCTGAGAACAGACACTGTCCCATGTTACGTCTGAGAACAGACACTGTCCCATGTTACGTCTGAGAACAGACACTGTCCTATGTTACGTCTGAGAACAGACATTGTCCCTTGTTACGTCTGGGAACAGGCATGGTCCCATGTTACGTCTGAGAACAGACACTGTCCTATGTTACGTCTGAGAACAGACACTGTCCCATGTTACGTCTGAGAACAGACACTGTCCCATGTTACGTCTGAGAACAGACACTGTCCTATGTTACGTCTGAGAACAGACACTGTCCTATGTTACGTCTGAGAACAGACACTGTCCCATGTTACGTCTGAGAACAGGCACTGTCCTATGTTACGTCTGAGAACAGACACTGTCCCATGTTACGTCTGAGAACAGACACTGTCCCATGTTACGTCTGAGAACAGACACTGTCCCATGTTACGTCTGAGAACAGACACTGTCCCATGTTACTTCTGAGAACAGACACTGTCCCATGTTACGTCTGAGAACAGACACTGTCCCATGTTACGTCTGAGAACAGACACTGTCCTATGTTACGTCTGAGAACAGACATGGTCCCTTGTTACGTCTGAGAACAGACACTGTCCCATGTTACGTCTGGGAACAGGCATGGTCCCATGTTACGTCTGAGAACAGACATGGTCCCATGTTACGTCTGAGAACAGACACTGTCCCATGTTACGTCTGGGAACAGGCATGGTCCCATGTTACGTCTGAGAACAGACACTGTCCCATGTTACGTCTGAGAACAGACACTGTCCCATGTTACGTCTAAGAACAGACACTGTTCCATGTTACTTCTGAGAACAGACACTGTCCCATGTTACGTCTGAGAACAGACACTGTCCCATGTTACGTCTGAGAACAGACACTGTCCTATGTTACGTCTGAGAACAGACATTGTCCCTTGTTACGTCTGGGAACAGGCATGGTCCCATGTTACGTCTGAGACTAGACACTGTCCCATGTTACGTCTGAGAACAGACACTGTCCCATGTTACTTCTGAGAACAGACACTGTCCCATGTTACGTCTGAGAACAGACACTGTCCCATGTTACGTCTGAGAACAGACACTGTCCTATGTTACGTCTGAGAACAGACATTGTCCCTTGTTACGTCTGGGAACAGGCATGGTCCCATGTTACGTCTGAGAACAGACACTGTCCTATGTTACGTCTGAGAACAGACACTGTCCCATGTTACGTCTGAGAACAGACACTGTCCTATGTTACGTCTGAGAACAGACACTGTCCCATGTTACGTCTGAGAACAGACACTGTCCTATGTTACGTCTGAGAACAGACACTGTCCCATGTTACGTCTGAGAACAGACACTGTCCCATGTTACGTCTGAGAACAGACACTGTCCTATGTTACGTCTGAGAACAGACATTGTCCCTTGTTACGTCTGGGAACAGGCATGGTCCCATGTTACGTCTGAGAACAGACACTGTCCCATGTTACTTCTGAGAACAGACACTGTCCCATGTTACGTCTGAGAACAGACACTGTCCCATGTTACTTCTGAGAACAGACACTGTCCCATGTTACGTCTGAGAACAGACACTGTCCCATGTTACGTCTGAGAACAGACACTGTCCGATGTTATGTCTGAGAACAGACATTGTCCCATGTTACGTCTGAGAACAGACACTGTCCCATGTTACGTCTGAGAACAGACACTGTCCCATGTTACATCTGAGAACAGACACTGTCCTATGTTACATCTGAGAACAGGCACTGTCCTATGTTACGTCTGAGAACAGGCACTACAACAGATTATGTCCAATTCTTCTGTAAGTTGTTATGGCTATGTGAATAAAGGATCTGGGGCCAAACGAATATATTGATGAGTAAAACATATGTGTTAGACGGATAACACCTGTTCACGTATTCAGTTAAAAAGAAAACATCATGGATCTAGCCGAAGTAGATGGATTATGATAGCTGACACTTACTATTTTGCTGAAAATAAACCAGTGAGTGCACCAGAGGTTACTCGACCATAACTGACTTGTTTTTGTTGACATCGATGAAACATATTCTTAAAGCCGAGGAATGTTTGTACCTTGCCACCACCATCGACCAAATTATAAAATTCTCCCTCTGTTTATTTTAGTGACACATCCAGACACATTGTTATTTCAATTTGTCCAGAATCACAAATTATTATAAAAATGTTTAATGAAAACATATTTTAAGTTACAGTAAAATACGGTTATAACGAAGGGACCACTAATTTCAGTTCGTAATAACCGTAGTTCGTTATAAGCATATACACATCATATATACAACACATTGCCGGGACTAAAAAATAACTTCGTTATATCGGTAAGTTCGTTATAAGCGTGTTCGTTATAAACGTAGTTTACTGTAGTTGGTTTCATCTTGTTTCCGGAATCCTCCTTGGTTGATCATTTCGAGTCTACCGGAATAACCTGAAATTAATAGATATAATTATATATAACGCCAAGAGAAACGCCCAACAGATCATTTTTTTCCACAGAACGTCTCCTGCTGATGACGCCCCCGACGTTTCTCCGGTCGAAGTTGAGACACAAGGTCAACTATGGCGAAGAACTGACGTTAACGTGTGACGCCGTGGGGCGGCCTGTACCTGACGTGTGGTGGGAGCAGGGCGGAAAACGTTTAAAGGGCCGGTCTCACAATGGCCAGAATATTAAGGTGCTGCAAGACATGAGACAAACATCGATCTATACATGTGTGGCATCAAACCCCCTTGACACCATCCGTAAAGAGTACAAAGTGACTGTCATCGAACCTAGAGTTGAAGGTATGTGTCCTCGTTTGTTTGTTGTTTAACGCTGCACTAAGCAATATTCCAGCTATATGACGGCGGTCTGTAAATAATCGAGTCTGGACAAGACAATTCAGTGCTTGACATCATAAGCATCGATCAACGCAATTAGGTTTCGATGACATGCATCAACCAAGTCAGCAAGCCTGACAACCCGATCCCGTTAGTCGCCTCTTATGACAGCATAGTCGCCTATTACGACAAACATGCATGGGTTAAGGGAAGACCTATTCTAAGTCGGATCTTCACGGGTCGTGTTCATGTGGAACAAAACAGGAGCGGTGATGTCAATCGAGTGCCATGCATTGTAACACGAACAGAAGTCTGTGCCGCAATCAATCTAATTAAAATCAGATCCTTCACTCCGATACGATATCTTTACGTACAAATCTCAGGACAGTTTGCGTCTGGTCACAGATTACTAATCAGCCAAAAAGTGTCGAAGCTTCTAGATTTTCGGTAAGGCTGAGCGAAGCATTTGAATAGCATGATTTCCGTATGTCGAAAACGAAACTTCCGAAAGTGGAAAGTATAGAAGCGCCATCATATTGTTGTGGATATTTCAAACAATCTGGCATCTATGTACGCCGTGTCATCAACTCCCAACTGTCATAGCTCGTGCAGGGTTCACCTGTCGCAACCTTCAATGGTGTAGACAGCCTCCGTGGTCTAGTGGTAGAGCGTCCGCCCGGAGAGCGGAAGGTCCGGTTTTCGATCCCCGACCGCGTCATACCAAAAGATGTTAAAAGATGGTACTTGTTGTTACCCTGTCTGGCGCTCTGCATTAAGGGGCTAAAAAAAGGACTGGTCGGCTCGGAGTCAGTATACTGTGTCTAATATGGGTATTCATGTTAGACTGCGGCATGGTATCTCAGTGAGCTAGCACTATAAATCGACATCAGTCCGGACTAGTACAAGCAGCCACACAAACACACACGCGTGCATGCACGTCGCTATAAAAGTGCAATAATCTTGGACGCGACGTTGAACCCCATTTCACCTCACCTCACCTCACCTTCAATGGTGTACGAAGTGCAGTAAAAGATCTGATTTCAATGAGATTGTGTGTAAAAACACGTTATCAATTGGTCTTCGAATTCAGAGCTCCCCTCGACTATTCACCGCGTATGAATACATGGCTATATTAATGGACTTTTGTGTGCCCTAAATGGGAAAAGACTGAGGCACGTGGAATGTGGAAATGAATATTTTATGTTATACCTTCAATATGGTTATGTTCTGCAGGAAAGAAAATACCATTACTTTCTAGCCTGGGCACCCTCCCACAAAGCGATGATAGAGTTGAGACGATCGTTGCTCCCATGCTTCAGCAAAGACGTATGGCAGTCATAGCGCTACGATCAATTTGTGGAACGTCATCCTTTTTTTGGTGACGTTATTTGCATTTCATTTTGTGAAGTCATGTTCATACACGAATAGAAAGAGAATGATGTGAAAATTTTCTGAGAACACACGTTATAATATCGATCAGCGTCATATGTAGGGCAAACAATAATTTCGGGAGAAGGAGGGGGGGGGGGGGGGGGGGGGGGGGCGTAATAATTGAAAGCGTACGCTCGTTACGCCGAATGCCCGGGTTCGAATCCCCACCTGGCTACACTGTTTGAATACCATTTCAAATATAAAACTTTCGACATGTGACATTGTTCCAGACACCATGGTTGCGCCGACCTTCAAGCCGGCCACTTTGTCCGTCAAGGTCAAGTTCACCGGCTCCACCAGCCTGACGTGTGAAGCTGAAGGTGACCCTGTGCCACGTGTCATCTGGTTGCTGCAGGGGAAAATACTCAAACGAAAGTCTGAGAATGGCAAGAACGTATTACGGCTCACGCGATTGAGAAACTCCGGAAATTACACCTGCACTGCAAGCAACATCGCCGGCAACGCCAGTCAGGTGTATAACGTCACTGTGGCGAGTAAAGTAGGTAGGTGCTTGGGTGCTTAGCGTGATGGTATTCGTCGTAAGCAAGACGGCAAAATGAACAAGAACTACATGGATATACAGTAAAATACGTTTGTAACGAACACGCTTATAACGAACTGACGGATATTACAAACTTAATTTTGGTTCCGCGCCATTTGCTGTATAGTGAGTGAGTGAGTTAAGTTTAACGTCACATCGGCAATATTTCAGCCAAATCGTCACGAGATTTGCTTTATAGATGTTGTATATATGCTTATAACGAACTACGGTTATGACGAACTAAAATAGTGGTCCAATTGAGTTTGGTATAACCGTAGTTTACTGTAGTACGCTATGTGCGCAAGGTCATATATATTTCGCTGTTATCATATGGCAGTTTTCATATCATACCCCATTACAACCAGAGACCCTCACATCAGCCCGAGGGCCGAGGGCCGAAGAACAGCGACTTACCTGTTTCAGGGGGCGCTCAACATAATATATTGAGAATATCTCCTTTCCCCCGTCACGAGAGGAGACAAACGTGCTATTTCTTTCGACATATGGAATGTATAGTTGTCCAGTGGAAAATTAAATTCTTTCATTACAAATGTAAAACCTTGACACGTAAATTATCCCTACCTAGGAAGCAGGGACGTTTCACCACCCTTTTTTCGACTTAAAAAGGAGTTCCTTGTTTGCAAAAACTTAGTAAACATTAACAAAACTAACAAAAAATATTTAGGGTCATTATTATTTATAATACATTTGAATATGACTTATTACAAAATCAACTGAAACAAAACTGTTCTTGTAATCGACAAGACCGCTGTTGGAATCGAAAGAATACACGCTGGTTAAGTGACAAAATGGCGCTTTGCGAAACGAACAATCCCGATTGACGAGTTAAATGAGAAATTTACAGTTTATGAGGAAACATTTTCAAGAGAATAACAGACATCAAGAAGCGACATTAACTCCATAAATGGCTATCTGTCAATATTTGCCTTATCAATGTGGAACTAACATAAAAAGGAAGTCAACAGTTTGTGTTCGAGCTGGACTTTTTCGATAAAGGAAGACAAAGTAATGGTTAGCTCATTGAATAGTTGATAGTGTTAAATAACATTGATATAATTGATAGTGTTAAATAACATTGATATAATTGATAGTGTTAAATAACATTGATATAATTGATAGTGTTAAATAACATTGATATAATTGATAGTGTTAAATAACATTGATATAATTGATAGTGTTGAATAACATTGATATAATTGATAGTGTTAAATAACATTGATATAATTGATAGTGTTGAATAACATATTATAATTGATAGTGTTAAATAACATTGTTAATGTTGAAAGTGTTAAATAACATTTGGTAATTTTAAGAGTGTTAAATAACAGTATTATTATTATTGATAGTGATAAATAACACTGGTAATATTGAATATGTTAAATAACATTGGTAATATTGAAAGTGTTAAATAACATTGGTAATATTGAAAGTGTCAAATAACATGGTTAATATTGATAGTTTTGAATAACATTATTATTATTATCATTATTATTAGTTCTCCAACTTAGGACACCTTCTCCCAGACATTTACACACTTGATTTAGAGCTTGTACTAAGCCTGAATGTTACAGAAGGAAAGACAAGAACAGGAAAGATAAGTGAACAGTGCGAAAAATATAGTTTACATAAATCTCTTTGTATTACGTATATAACTCTGTGTATAATTGTTCTGGTAAATCCCCATTTCAATTGAACATCAAATTGAAATCTGTTGGTGTATTGTCGGCTATTTGGCTTATATTACTGAGTGAAGCGTCTCCTTCTTCTCTTAGGGGGGCACGGGGGGCCCAGTCGTCTAAGGCGCCGCGATTCGCTGTGCAGAGTTGCGTCCCTTGGGCATGCCAGAAACCTATGATTGGGGGTTCGAATCCCGGTTCGCCCCGATTATGTTTCTAGGTTTGTCAGCACCATACCAGTGCTCGTGGGTTTCACCGAAGTGGTAAACGTCTGAGACCTGCATCACTTCGGGCTTTCCTCCAACGTTATGCTGACATGCCGCGATATAACTGGAATACTGTTAAAAGCGGCGTTTAACCCAACTCACTCACTCACTCACTCACTCACTCACTCACTCACTTTCTTCTCTTAACAAAGAAAAATTGATATGCATTTTCACATTTACTACCACAAAAACATTCTGCTGTGTCTTTAATTCCTAGTCTACATAAATCATAATTTAACTGACTTACCTTATGTCAGAAGGTTACCAAAAACATAGCGGTGCATATATTGGGTCCAAGAATCCGTGTTTCTGACATTAGGCGTATCTATTCTCCCTTTAATTTCACTACACACATGTACCTTCCATTTTTTTCGACAGCATTGGTTTGAGGTATAGGGCGTGATTTGTTGCGCGATGACCTCCTTGAGACTTCAGTGACAGTGTATTTGCAACTGCCGTATAATGGCAGTCACATCTATGCTGATTGCGAGGTCGCCACCAAGCCGGCAACTCTCCGCTATTGAATGTATTGTTGACTGCAGGGGTATTGTAAGACGCTTCTGTCGATTTTACATTCGCATTATTTATTGCCTGTTCAGCCACACAAACAGAATAACAGTCGCCGTTTCAACTGATGTTCAATAAGTCAAAATATAAGATAGCTATGCCATAACTCGCAAAGAACAATGAAGAACGAAGTGTGGTTTATTGTTCAAAACATTGTTCTATCATGATGTCATTTCTCGAGATTCGAACATGCGCTCGCAACTTAATGACGTCGTATATTGGACGACGTTATTTTTGTGAGGGAAGAGTATGGTGAGTTGTTCCCCATAGATGTAGCTGGGCAACGTAGATAAACGCAATGGCCGAACGATCCAAAAGTGGGAGAGATATGACAATCGGTATTGGGAGAAAAGGTATAGGTAATCGACGCGAGGATTGTGAGAATATGCGGGAAATACCCACCTGTGCATAAAATGAACTTATCTGACATTGCCGAGGTCAGATTCTTTTGAGAGAGTCATCATTATTACAATACGGCTAAATATATTTTAAAAGCGTGTATATTTCATTATCATCCTTAAGAGGCTGTACATAATGTTAAAATTTCATATAAGAAATAAACGACTCGTGGTCGTCGTTTATCGTACAATAAAACACTGCAGGGAGAATAAACCACTCGGGAGTGCGGTCCTCATTGTTTATTCTTCCTGCAGTGTTTTTTTGTACGATAAACACCGAATACGAGTCGTTTATTCCTTAAATGTTGTTATTCATATGGTTTTTATGTTGGAAAACATGTCATATGCCACTGGAGAAAAGATAAGCACCACCCACTTATTATTTTCATATTTCCGAACCGCCATATAGCTTTGGAGATATCTACACGTGGCACTGATCTCATTGGATACAAACCCGTGAAGACCCGGGTTAGAAATGATCTTGTGTATGTGTATAATAGAAAGAGTACGTATTTATTTTCAGAGAGGTTCAGAGTTAGTCGACCGGTCGACTTGAAGTCAGCCGTCGTGATGCCGAACGAGGTGGAGTTGAAGTGGGATCCCCCCAAGAACCTCAGTGGAGTAACAGGGTTTGCTGTATATGTGGTGGACCCTATCACTAATCTCGAGACGCGGGAGGAGATCCCCATGGTGTACAATTACACAGTGACTAACCTCAAACCTGACAGACAATATATCATCCGGGTTACTTCCTTAGCAAAGTCACTTGACGGGAAGGGCACCCCTGCCATAAAAGTGAAGACTCTCAAATTTGGTAGGAGCGAGCATTTACCTCCCAGAGAACCTGCTTGAAAATATGTTTATTATGAATAAAGAAAATAATTAATTGATTGCGAGATTGAAATTGAAATGTGATCATCGTTGGCAATGTTATGATATTCTTGTGATATTCATTGGAATTGTCGTGTGTATGCAATAGCATAATATGTAATTATTATGACATAGATTGACGTGTTGCGGTTTGGACAAATCATAATGTAACATGTAACTTACATAACTGACAAAGGGTAACATATCATTGTTACGGCATGGGGTAACATGAAGCTCACCTGACCTAGGGTAACACGTGTCTTCACCGGCATTGGGTCCCATGTGCTCACACCGACAAATACATAAACTGCTGACTAAGCGTAACACGTACATCTGACATGGGGTAACACGTACATCTGACATGGGGTAACACGTACATCTGACATGGGGTAACACGTACATCTGACATAGGGTAACACGTACATCTGACATGGGGTAACACGTACATCTGACATTGGGTAACACGTACATCTGACATGGGGTAACACGTACATCTGACATAGGGTAACACGTACATCTGACATGGGGTAACACGTACATCTGACATAGGGTAACACGTACATCTGACATTGGGTAACACGTACATCTGACATAGGGTTACACGTACATCTGACATGGGGTAACACGTACATCTGACATAGGGTAACACGTACATCTGACATAGGGTCACACGTACATCTGACATGGGGTAACACGTACATCTGACATAGGGTAACACGTACATCTGACATTGGGTAACACGTACATCTGACATGGGGTAACACGTACATCTGACATGGGGTAACACGTACATCTGACATAGGGTAACACGTACATCTGACATAGGGTAACACGTACATCTGACATTGGGTAACACGTACATCTGACATGGGGTAACTCGTACATCTGACTTGGGGTAACACATACATCTGACATGGGGTAATACGTTCATCTGACATAGGGTAACACGACACGTACATCGGACATGGGGTAACTCGTACATCTGACATGGGGTAACTCGTACATCTGACATGGGGTAACACATACATCTGACATGGGGTAACACGTACATCTGACATGGGGTAACACGTACATCTGACATTGGGTAAAACGTACATCTGACATGGGGTAAAACGTACATCTGACATGGGGTAACTCGTACATCTGACATAGGGTAACACGTATATCTGACATGGGGTAACACGTACATCTGGCATGGGGTAACACGTACATCTGACATAGGGTTACACGTACATCTGACATGGGGTAACACGTACATCTGACATAGGGTAACACGTACATCTGACATAGGGTCACACGTACATCTGACATAGGGTAACACGTACATCTGACATAGGGTAACACGTACATCTGACATTGGGTAACACGTACATCTGACATGGGGTAACACGTACATCTGACATGGGGTAACACGTACATCTGACATGGGGTAACACGTACATCTGACATAGGGTAACACGTACATCTGACATAGGGTAACACGTACATCTGACATGGGGTAACACGCACATCTGACATGGGGTAACTCGTACATCTGACTTGGGGTAACACATACATCTGACATGGGGTAATACGTTCATCTGACATAGGGTAACACGACACGTACATCGGACATGGGGTAACACGTACATCTGACATGGGGTAACACGTACATCTGACATGGGGTAACACGTACATCTGACATTGGGTAACACGTACATCTGACATTGGGTAACACGTACATCTGACATGGAGTAACACGTACATCTGACATGGGGTAACACGTACATCTGACATGGGGTAACACGTACATCTGACATAGGGTTACACATACATCTGACATGGGGTAACACGTACATCTGACATTGGGTAACACATACATCTGACATGGGGTAACACGTACATCTGACATGGAGTAACACGTACATCTGACATTGGGTAACACGTACTGACCCGGACAAAGCGTAACGCGTATATTGACGTGGCGTAAACGTGAATTTGACATGCGGTAACACATGCATCTTTTATTGGGTAACACGTGCATCTGCGGACATTGGATAACACGTACGTCTTACATGGCATAACAGGTACATCTGACATGGGCCAGGGTAACACGTACATCTAACATGGAGTAATACGTACATCTGAAATGGCGTCACATGTGCATCTGCGGACATTGGGTTACACATTGGATAACACGTCAATCTGACATGGGGTGAGACGTACATCTGACATGTGCTAACACGTAGGTATGACATTGGACAACACATACATCTGATATTCGGTAACACGTACATCTGACATGGGATAACACATACATATGACATGGGGTAACACGTTCATGTGAGATGGGTAACACGTACATCTGACATGGGGTATCACGTTCATGAGAGATGGGTAACACGTACATCTGACATTTGATAACACATACATCTGACATGGGGTAACACGTTCATTTAAGATGGTAACACGTACATCTGACATGGGGTAACACATACATCTGACATGGGGTAACACGTACATCTGACATGTGGCAACATGTGCATTTAGCATTTGATAACACATACATTTGACGTGGGGTAACACGCGCATCCCACATGTGGTAATAGTACATCTGACATTTGATAACACGTACATCTAACATGGGTAACATCTACTTCTGACATGGATTGTCCCATTAACTGCGTACTGTAAGACCTCGTAACATGATATATTCCTGCCAAATGATTCGAGAAATCGAGAAATCTTCTACGGTAGAACCACGGAATGACTGACAATATGGGTCCCAGGTGTTTATAGAAGACTGAATGTTGAACACATAGAGCACCACTGCATAGTCTGGCACTGACAGTAGCGGCCTGGAGAGTTTGTGTCGCACCAGCATGGAATACACAAGGGAACGTGCACATGTTTTGTTACGTTCGTAGTACATTATCTATATCGTTATTTGTTTGGACTTGTAATTAGCATTGTTCAATAAACATAATATGTTATATTTAGCGTCTAGTTGTGTGTGTGGATTTACCCAGGACTAAATCTGGCGTGTGACACAGTAGCATGTCCTCAGTCAAGGCAGTAGACGTCAACGATCACGTTGTGTCACGATGTGCTGTGCCGGTCCCCCACACTACACTATATACACAAGCCTGTGTGTCACTCACCACTAACACAGCCCAGGTAGGTCTGTATCATTCTTCTGTGACTTGGGCGTGGAGTGTTCTTTCCGAACTAACATTGTTTTACAGCGCAGTTTGTTTCACAGTTCCATTGTTGAAATGCCGGCGTGTCTATCCTCATGTACTTTCAATCGATTTTTGAGTAGTATAGGCGATGGGGGTACGGGTACCTTGTCCAGGTATGGTTGCGGCAGAACCCCCATCATCTATACTACTATTCACTGCCTCTCACGATCTTAGCGCTACGATGATCGTAGGTTTATGTATTAGTATGTTACGATCGTCTTAGCGCTGGGATCGTTTTGTTGCAGTGTCCTGGTAGACAGGCGGTCGCGAAACGCGCTAACATCTGCATCTAACTAACGAAATGATGTATCGCTCACTTTACGAGTTCATTACAAACTCTGTGTGTGATTATGTTATCTCTGCAGCTCCTACGGACGTCACGGCCAAGGCTATCGACAAGTCCACGATTGTGGTCAAATGGAAGTTACCGGAAGACCCCTCAGTTAGAGTGTACCGGGGCGTCGATGTGGAGTACCGCCAGATGAACGACGAAGGGGCCGTGGTCAAACAGGAAGTGCAGCGGTATGCTGGAAGAGGCAATAGTCTTTACATCCGGGCACTGAATCCGGCCACCACGTACCAGGTCCAGGTTAGAGCGAGGACAGAAGTTGGAGAAGGAATACCAAGCGATGTCGTTATGGTCACTACTGACCCTGAAAGTAAGAATTATATATTTCTAAATTCCAATTGTCTTACAAGATCCCGATGGAACTGCACTAACGACTTAATAATTACTGATGGAGCTTAAGAAATGTTCGGACATCTTGTAAATAAGACGTGGATCTTTTAGATTCAAGTGATTTTTTTTCAAATATTGTAATCCTGAGATAACGAGGAATATTCTAAAATGCTGCACCTGACCAATCGGGATCTTTCAGTCCCCGAACCTCCATTCCGGCTGCAAGCTGTTGACATCACCCACAATGAGGCAGAGATCAGCTGGTCTACACGTACTCCTATCGCCAGACTGACGTCGTTCAACGTGTACGTCAGGGACGTCTCGACGGGACGTGATCGTTTACATCATATGAGGAGCAGCGGTGACAGCAGCTACAGAATCAGGGACCTACTCCAGGACAAGCAGTATGAGGTGACGATCAGCTCCGAGATCAACGGACAGGCGGGGAACCGATCTCTCCCAATACGATTTAGGACAAAACCATTTGGTGAGATAAATATGACCCACTTTGACATATGAGACCTTATTGGTGAAAAATCACATTTTGACTTTTCATTATATTTTAAAAATACAGTATATCGGCAAACAAAAGTACAATTCAGAAGCTTCATTTCATTGCTGAGATACATGCCATCAAACATTTGAACTCATTTTCCGACTTACAACTGTTAATGCTATAATTGAAGTTCTTAGACATAATGTCTGATGAATTAAAAGTAGATATGTAGACAAGATTTTGAAATAATGTTTTCTTTTCATTGCATTGCGAACTAGCGAGAGAAAAGTAAAAGATATTTTTGTCCGCACACGAGTTGTAAAAAATCTTTATGACGTCACATGACAATTGTACTCGAGCATTCATGAAGTCCCATTTCTCCTGGTGGGTCACAAATGTAGTTTTACATAGAGAGTGGGATGTGATATAGCCCAGTTTGAGCAATACCAAGCTATTGCACAATGGAGTACTCTAAGAATTGTCATTCAGAATTCACATATTGTACTCGCTTGAGGCTCGAGCCTGTGTCTTTGGCGTGACAAACGAACGTTTCAACCACTTGGCTTCCTTGACGCAGGTAGTACGTGACATTCGTGATGCTTTGTGTTGATGCTGCTTTCACGGCCGTTAAACGTCATCTGTTTAATCATTCCTTTTTTTCAGTTCCCGATGCACCCAATGATGTGAAAGCAGATGCTGTGAATGCGACCACCATCTTAGTAACGTGGGGGACTGCTAATGACCCAGTTTCACGATCGTACATAACGGGGTATCGCATCCAGTATGAAGAGCTGGCACGTTACACAGGAAGTAAGACATTGGATGTTAGCCGTGGGAACAGAGGCATGCTGACGTCATTGAACGAAAACACAACCTACAAGATACAGGTCCGCGGGTACTCTGAACGAGGAGATGGGAAACTGAGTACCCCCATTCAAGCAAAAACACGTACGTAAAAGCCGCCAGAGTGAGTGAGTGAATTTGTGAATGACTGCTTTAGATGTCGACAAGCCTGATCGGTCCCTTGGTGATTGCATGAGTGGTTGCACGAATGAGAGAGTGAGTATTCTAAATCGATTTCAGAAGTGCTGCAACAACAACCTTTACCCACTTGCCTCCATCGAATTTAAATCCCACAAATTATAATTCAGCTGCAGCAACTGATTTCAAGCTACTTCACTCTCTCAGGCGCGGTGCTTATTGCGTCACTGACACGAGCAGGCGATGAGGGTGATGGGACACTACTCGAAATTATCGACACTACTCGAAATTATCAGGCCGACTTAGCGTGCAACCGACTCTGGTTATCATAAACAGTGTGACATGGACATGGAAGTCTCACCTCTTTAGGTATTGCCTGTACAAATGGCTTCACAGCTATACCTCTAAAACTATTGCCTGTGTGAATTGCTTGATATTGTAAAACGGTGAATTCAATATTGAAATGCAGAGGTTAACCCAGAAATTGGTTCACACAAAACTAAATTGTAAATGACAAGACAGCATCAATAAGTAATCAATACATTGTATTTAGATACAGTTTCAAGTTTACGATAAGAAATGCAATACTATGAATCAAATAAGTGGAAGCAGCAATGAATAACAATCCCTCGAATTAATGTCGGTGCATTCACGAAAGTTCAGAATATTGTCACTGTTGAATGTCTCTGTTCTTGAAACCAGAATAGCATTGGAAGCTGACATCTGGCAGTGTTTCCAAATATATATCCAAACCGCACTTGCCAAGTATATTGGAAACCTGTCAGGTCGAAATGGCATCGACTCGCCCTCTTGTCGCTCTTACATAGGTACTACCCGTGAACATCAGGGGTAGAATAGGTCTTCAGATCCCATGCTTGTGGTAAGAAGCGACTAACGGGTTCGGATGCTCAGGCTCGCTGACTTGGTTGATGTATGTCACCGTATCCCAATTGCGTGGATAGATGCTCATAATGTCAATCACTGGATTGTCTGGTCCAGACTCGATTTTTTACAGATCGCCTTCATATAGATGGACTATTTCTGTGTGCGGCGTTAAAAAACACACAAACAACGAAAGTTACCGTGGTACAGCCAGGCTTTTCGAACACTGTCCCTACTTGAAACGTCTTGAATGGTCAGGTCTGCCTTGTTCGTGTGCAAAGGGGCAGATAACTCTAATTATAATGCAAAAAGGGAGCACTTGATATCTTTTAGTAGTATTTCAATCAACCGCCACTGATAAGCACTACAGACGTATCTACAACAGGCTTCACCGTCACTGACATGACCCACACATAAATATGCCACCTTTGAGTACATTAGAGAGTCGAATAAAGCAACCTGTGTTTATTTCCCTAGTGGTGTCACCACAACCCGTGGACCTCCAAGCTACCCTCGTCTCACACAACAGCATCCATCTATCCTGGGACGCCCCCATCCTTCTCCGCTCCATCACATCCTTCAACGTGTACGTCCACGACGACGTGACGGGCAAGGTGACGAAGACGTCTGTCCGGCCAGCAAAGGAGCACACAATCACTGGCCTCCAGTCAGACAGACACTACACTCTGACGGTGGCCTCTGTCGTGAAGTCACGTGAACAAGAGCGGTCACAGCCGCTAAGTGTCGCAACTCTTCCGTACGGTGAGACTGGGAAAATGATACTGATGGGTTGCTGTTAGTCGGAAAACAAAAATGATATACAGTGAAACTCCGTTAACTTGTAGATACCATCTAAATCACATTGAATTAACTTAAGCGGATATTTAATGTCAGACCTCGGAGCCGACAAGAATTCAGCATGGCAATGGAACTACATTTTCTCACAGGAATTCCTGTTTAAGAGGCTTTGCCTATTATCTGGCTGATCTACGTATTTTGAAGAAACAGACCTTGAATCAAAATACAACTGTGATATGAATAATGACATTCGGCTATGTTGAATTTTATGTGCGCATTATTTGAAAAGCACATTTACTCGATAAGCAATACCATAGTTAATGTTAAGATAACACATGTAATGTTCTCAACAAGTCCTGTTAATCCTGTCGGAATATGTCTATTGATTTGATGCCATAAATTTATGAGTGAGTGATTTTTATGCCGCTTTTAGCAATATTCCAGCAATATCACGGCGTGGGACGCCAGAAATGGGCTTCACACATTGTACTCATGTCGGGAATCGAAATCGGGTCTTCGGCGTGACGGGCGAACGCTTTAACCACTTGGCTACCAGACCGCCCCTATAAATGTTTAGATAAATGTAATACGAAATAATATCTCTTATTCTAATAATCTTCTTAACGCACGTGTGACATTTGCCGCAGTTCCTGATCCACCAAGTGACGTGGTAGTCGCAATCGTCAACGAGACGGCAGTGAAGGTGGAGTGGACGTTGATCAAGGATGACGCTCACGCCATCGTCAACTATCACGTGGCCTACAGCGAGCTGGGCCGGGCTGGGGTCAGCGAGGGCCGGACGGTGTCCCGGCGAAGTGAGAGGGTCGTGCTGTGGCCCCTGGAGATGGATACCAGCTACAATGTCCGTGTCCGTGCTGAGACGGCGTCGCAGAAGGGGGTGTACTCGCAACCGACAGTCGTCACTACACGTAGGTTTTAGGGGAATCAAACACATTGATATTTAACAGCAAGCCTATTTAATACTTTGAAATGGAAGTTACTCTTTTTCAGTAAATAGTTTAAGTATCTATGCTGTGAAAAAATGACACTTTTTTATGGATTACAACTTCTTTTATTCTTTGTACCACGTTTCAGAGCTGCTTCTTGCTTCTTCATCAGAATCATCTGATATGGGAGCAAGGAGTAGCTCTGTAACGTCCTACAGAGAATAAAAGAAGTTGCTGTCCAAAAATAGTGTCATGTATTCATGTTCTCCAAACTTCTAAATGCCTATCAAAGACTTCATCTAAGCTAGTCATCTGTTGTGGATCAACAGTCAATGTCTATTTATTACCACAGTTGCCTGGGAAAAAGCTTTCCAACAAAAGTCCCATAATAGCAGAAAGCACACACAATTGAGTTTGGTCAAGTTCAAATGTCTATATAAGGGCAATGCCCTCTTAGTAACAATAGCCAGTGGAATTATTACCTTTCAACTTTTTCCATTTGAAAAACAAATCGCCAGCAGGCCTTCATTGTTAACCAAATATAATGGCCGAACAAATATTGCATTTTGGCCATTTTGTGTCCTAGAAGAGATCAGTGCTCATTCTCTGCCTTTCCTGAACATTTTCGTCTTTCAGGGTACAGGTAAGAACATTTTATCATCCCCCGTCACGATGTGGGGCGGGGATATAGGAACGCAGTTCGTTCGTACGTGCGTCCGCTTCTCAATGTGGACAACTTTTCTATAAAAACTATTACACACTGATGTTATTGGCTACGATCTCAAAAGGGTTCGAAAATTGGTGTTGTACATTCAGCTTTTATGGCCATTGCTCCATGCTTTTCAACTTGTATACTATGTGAAATTGTGGTCAACTTTCTGGGAAACAACTGCCGTTACATGAATGAAACTTTACAAGCTCATCTATGAGATATTTGTGAAAAATGAGTGCGTAAACTGGTTCCGTCTGGTGCATTGTGTGTGCAATGGGAGCATGTTCGCTTTGTTTTGTTTTGTTTGTTTTTTAACGCCGCACTCAGCAATATTCCAGCTATATGACGGCGGTCTGTAAATAATCGAGTCTGGACCAGACAATCCAGTGATTGACATCGTGAGCATCGATCCTCGCAATTGGGATCGATGACATGCATCAAACCAAGTCAGCGAGCCTGACCACCCGATCCCGTTAGTCGCCTTTTACGACAAGCATAGTCACCTTTTACGGCAAGCATGGTTTGCTGAAGACCTATTCTACCCTTAAATCTTCACTGGTCGTTAGTTTGCTACTGAAGTTGGCTTATCTGAGAGATATTTATCAAGGCTGAGTTAGGGACCTATGATGTGTATTAATTCCACATTTAATGACATAATGATGACATAAAGCGGCCCAAGTGGCTATCTCCTTTTAAGGGTTGTTTATATTCACAACTATATGAACAAACTAAATTCTAATGCGCCCCAAGGCTAGGGATAGTGATAACACTGTTTTCGTGTTTGATTTCCCCATGTAGCTTGTAACTTTCATATTTCAGTTGCATCCGACAAGCCTAACGACATCGATGCATCGAACATTCAGTTCAACCAAGCCGACATCACGTGGTACGCCCCGACAAAGAAACGCAACATCACAGAGTTCCGCTTGGTGGTCTCTGATACCGTGACAGGGGAGAAAACTCGTTTGAATATACCTCCCGTTACTGAGTATACTGTCACGGAGCTATACCCGGACAGGAAGTACATAATCACAGTCCGGTCAAGGATGGGTGCGCTAAGAGGCAAGAGGTCGGAGGAATATGTATTTAAAACATTACCCTATAGTAAGTATGGACATGAGCAGTTATTAATCTCTGAGTATGTGAGTGAGTGAGTGAGTGAGTGAGTGAGTTTGGTTTGAGGCCGTTTTAACAGTATTTCATGTGTGATGTAAGTCTTAGACACTTACTACGTTAGTAAATATTCATTGCAAATCTAGGATACAAACCCACGATCGTAAGGGACGCAACTCTGCAGAATGAATCGTGGCGCTTTAGGCGACTGGGCCAAAGCAATCACTCGGTACACTAATTCGGAAAGGATGTTGCAATGGGGTTATTTGGGTTAACACAATTGTTTTCAGCAAGGTTGGATGTGATTGTGTATACACTCTGCCTCAGTACCCTTGGCACCGGCCAGCGTCACCGTTGTCCCCGCGAATGACACTTCCCTTGTGGTGGAGTGGATACCAACCGTGAATGATCAAACCCGGCGCTTCGTCGTACGCTACAACATCGTCTACGGCAGGCAGAGAGACAGACCCGAGAATGAGGAGAGTCTTCAGGTTCCAGGAGACACCAGCATGGCTGTCATCACGTCACTGGAGCCCTACACCACGTACAGAGTGCGCGTGCGCGCGGAGACGCTGACTGAGACGGGACAGTATAGTCTACCGATTCACTCATCAACATGTGAGGAGATACATGTCTTCTTAATCTTATCGCTTTTTAATGTCTGCAGTTCATCATTTTAATTGGCTTCAAGAATATGCTCTGATATTTGGACCATATCATATGCTGAATTTGCATGAGATTATTCTTGAATGCACCGATAATGTATGATGTCTCAGCTATTGCTAATCCTCACCAGTAAAATCGGACAAACCCGTTTCACTGAGACCAACACGGCTAGAGTTCAACCAAGCTGACGTGACCTGGAACGCCCCCATTGATGAGCGGGATATTACAGGCTTTGAACTTGTGCTTAGTGACGTCACGAGCGGGAAGATGACGCTCCTGAACACGCCCCCTACCACGAGATACACCCTGAGGGACCTCAAGCCTGACAACGGGTATACACTGACTGTGACGTCACAACTCAGAAGCCGGAAGGGGAAGACGTCGGAGAAGATGACGTTCAAGACGTTGCCGTTTGGTTAGTTTCACATCAGCAGTCAGCGCATGCAGTATCACATATATCACTCATTACTATGAATACACAATGGTATTGTTTCAACGACCTCAGTTGGCGATATCATTGCTTAAATACAGGGCAATGGCATTTTCCTAATGTATCCTCGTGTCTCTGACTTCCTCCTACGCCTGTCACATATGACTGTCTACTACGTCTGTCACCTTTGTCTACTACGTCTGTCACATCTGACTGTATACTACATCTGCACATCTGACTGTCTACTACATCTGCACATCTGACTGTCTACTACGCCTGTCACATCTGACTGTCTGCTGAGTCTGTCACATCTGACTGTCTTCTACAACTGTCACATCTTACTGTCTTCTACGTCTGTCACATCTGACTTTCTCCTACGTCTGTCACATCTGACTGTATTTACTGCATCAGTCCCGGAAGCTCCGACCAACGCCGATGCAACAGCCATCAGCGATACCTCTGTGTTGGTGGAATGGACGTCCACTGATAACGACGAGACTCGCGACTACATCCTGCGGTACCACATCGCCTACCGCAAGATGGGGAGTCCAATGGCGGCTGAGGACAGCGTGCACGTGGATACGGACACAGACGAGGTCGCCATCGCTCTTCTGGACGCCGACACCGACTACAGGATCCGAGTGCGGGCTGAAACTCTGACGGAGGAGGGGAAGTACAGCAGACCCATCAGAGTCAAGACCTGTGAGTAGTGGCGTCTTAACTACATGAGGGTCCTGATTGGGGGGGTCCCATAAGCAGTAACCAGTAAAATTTAGGGTACTTTTTGATTAAGCAGTAATTTTTCTTCTTTTTCAATAAAATCGTCGCGAAAATCTTTTTGGGTCGCATATTTGTTTCACAAAAATGCCAAATGAATTTTTCAACAAATATTATATTAATATCACCAGGTTATTTTACCTTTCATTTCATCCTGGCAATTCATATTTTTAATACCGGGTAAAATCTAAAATCGCTAAACATTCTAGACTGGTCCCCTGCGTTAGTTGCGCAGCCTGCTTTCTGTGGCGAAGCATTTGGGTCTTGAAGACAGACTGTTTTTGACCATTTTAATCATTTTACGATAAGCAGTAAATTATTCATTTAAGTTAAGCAGTTATTTATTGGTATTTTCCGTTGAGCATTTACGATAAAAAAAGATGAATTTTATGTTTACGACAGTGTTTGAAGGGTGTTTTACGTTAAGCATTAAAACCTATCAGGACCCTCCTACATAGCCCAACGTACCTGTCTTGAAGTCCCACCTCTGTCCCATAGAAGTGAGGTGAGGTGAGGTGAGGTGAAATGGGTTTTGAAGTCGCTTTCAAGTCAATGTACTAGTCTTATATAGCGACTTGCATGCACCTGTGTGTGTGTGGTTGTTTGGTTTAGTCCGGACTGATGCCGATTTATAGTGCTAGCCAATTGAGATACCATGACGCAGTTTAACATGAATACTCCACTCAGACACAGTGTACTGATTCCGAGCCGACCAGTCCTTGTTTTAACCCCTTAATGCCGAGCAGACAGGGTAACAACAAGGACCATCTGTTAACGTCTTTTGGTATGACGCGGCCGGGGATCGAACCCTGGACCTTCCGCTCTCCGGGCGGACGATCTACTAGTCTACGACTCTACAGAACTATCACCATACGATGTGATAATGTATGGAAAGAATGGGACGGTGTGGTAGTCCAATGGTTGAAGCATACTCTCGTTACGCACAAGATCCCTACATGGTATATTACGTGGCGCCCATTCTTGGTGCCCTCGATCGAGATATTGCTTGTATTTGCAAAAATCGACATAAAACCATACTCACTTTTCGAAAGAGGTTGTTATTGGCAGAACGGGTATGGGTGTTTACAATATAGACATCAGTTGTGTTTTTATATTTTTGCAGTAAAATCTGACAAACCTTTGCAACTCGCCGTGAAAAGAGTACAGTTCAACCAAGCTGAAGTGTCTTGGAACGCGCCGATCAGCGAACGAGGTATCACGGGCTTTAAGCTCACGCTTGCTGATGTTACGGGCGGGGAGGTGACATTCTTGGACGCGCCCCCGAATGAACGCTATACACTGACAGGTCTCGAACCCGACAACGGATATACTGTCAGTGTGATGTCCCAACTCGGGGATAAGGAAGGGAAGATTTCAGACATGCTGGAGTTTAGGACCTTGCCGTATGGTTAGTATATCACCCTGGTGATGTTGAGGATATTCTACCGATATACGTAAGTATCTGAACGTGTTACACCTGGAATGTCGGGGATTTCCTACTGATAAAATTAAACGCAATAAATATAGTTTCAGTTGGTAAAGGACCCAAGTTGCTCAGAGGTCAAGGTCGCCGCGGTGCAGAGTTGTGTCCCTTAGCTTCTAGGATCCTTTCGTTGCGGGTTTGACTCCCGAGGCCGTCGGAAGTGTGTGGAACATGTGGAGGTGAACTTGAACAACCTGCGTCGCTTTGTGATGCACAGCACACGTCCTGATACAGTCGTAAAACTCATCTAAGCGGTGTTCACTCACTCATTATTAGCATTTAACAAGTTAAGCATTTATTCCATTTACTCTGGTAAAGCGTAATAGTGTAAAACCCTCGACATCGATCTACAAGTATCAATGCTCTCAAGACCAGGATCAGTACCACGGAGATTTATATTACAAGTGTATATTCAACCTAACAGATGTATTTTTACAAACACCTTTAGCGTTTGTTATGAAGTACCTTCAGTACATGTAGTCAGGGAAGAAGCACTGGTACTGCCTAAGTCTCTTACAGTATTCCACGCTGAGGCTGGAGTCCATATGGTATATCATACCTGTGCAGCAACACACGGTACAGCTGTGAATAATATTAATAAAATTTTAATAAATCGTGTCAATTTGTTGAGACTGAATGATTTTTTTACTTTTAAAAAACGATAGCTGTTGGGTATTGGCAGCATAAACAGAATGGAATTATACCTGTCTTGAAAAGCACTCTCAAGATCGAAAAGTACTATCTGGATTGACGAGTACTAAATGGATAAGAACACTATGTGGATAATGAGCACTCTATGGATTTAAGAGCAATTTATGGACTGAAGAGCACTTTCTGGATTGAAGAGCACTATATGGATTGAACAGCACTATCTGGATTGAACAGCACTATCTGGATTGAAGAGTACTAAATGGAAAAGAACACTATGTGGATAATGAGCACTATATGGATTTAAGAGCAATTTATGAATTGAAGAGCACTATCTGGATTGAAAAGCACTATCTGGGTTGAAGGGCACTTAATGGATTAAGAGCACAATGTGGATTGAACAGCACTATCTGGATTGAAGGCACTAAACGGATTAAGAGCACTATATGGATTTAAGAACAAAGTGTGGATTGAAGAGCGCTATGTGGATTTAAAAGCACAATGTGAATTGAAGAGCACTATACGGATAGAAGAACACTCTAGATAGAAGAGCGCTATCTGGATTGAAGGGCACTAAACGGATTGAAGAGCACTATGTAGATTGAAGAGCACTATATGAAGTGAAGAGTCAATGTGGATTGAAGAGCTGTATTTAGGTTGAAGAGTCAAATGGCATTAGAATGTAGATCACACTGCAGTCTGTGGCTTCAGTCAGTATGGCTGCCATTGTGGACAGATGATCATCAATTCTCGCGACATACCTCTATTTGCAATATATCTGCCATTGGTGACTTTCCCATCGTATCACACGGTACGGTGTACAACCTTTGCCAACATCTATCGTGTACGTGTGGTGTCAATAGCCGGTTTATATCAGTATTGAAACATTGCTTTCATTATGCACATTTTCTGAGGTTTCTTCCTTGTCCCTTTGTTTCTTGGTAGTTCAATGCTCGAAGACCTTGCTTGAGATTTACATCTGTCTTTCTACAAGCACAATACTTGCCGGGATGTGCGAGAACAACAAAAGCAACCTTTGTTACAGGAACCAACACCCTATTGGTGTTTCATTATGAAAGTTCTATGATGACAAGAATGAATTTAAGCTTCCAGAAACATCCCACAATTAACAATATGGTTTGTAAGAGGAGTTGTATGAGTTCCGGTGACACATGCACCGTTTAGACTCACAGCTTTCTGATTTAGTTGTACTATGTTTATAAGTCAATATCCAACGACAGTTGTACGATGTTACGTTTGTCGCTTCCAAATGTGCTTGTGTCTATATATCCAGTGTCAAATATGCTATTTGCTATGTGGTATGTCGATGTAGTTGTCATAATTTAAAAGTAAAGGACATGGAGATTGTGTCTTTCTTGTGTCATTGACAAACAGGTTATATTTCTGAGAGTATATTGTCTGCATTTCGTCATGCTCTTTAACAATGTGCCTACCATAAAGAACGGACATGAAACCAGATAGCGATGTGTCACTTATGATTTATTTTGTACGTACTAACTGATCCCACGGTCGGAAGAAACTGAATATTGGCGTTCTTTCACTTGCAGTCCCTACCTCCCCAGTTGGTGTTGTTGCAACACCTCTGAATGACACCGCTGTCATGGTGCAGTGGACGCCAACCGTGGATGATGACACTCGTCGGTACGTCACGAGTTACAACATCGCCTACACCAGACAGGGAAGCAATACAGAGGGTGGAGCTGAAGAGAGTCTTTTGGTACCTGAGGACTCAACAATGGCGACGATCACCTCTCTGGCCGCCGACACAAGCTACAGAGTGCGTGTGCGCGCTGAGACGCAGACGGAAAAGGGGCAGTATAGTCTCCCGAATCTTGTGAAAACATGCAAGTAGATTAACAAGTTTCCTACTCAGTAGCAAAAACAATGTACATGTGGCTGTCGACTCTCTTCCTCACTACACACCTGTCTATTTGTCCACTGACCCAATTGTGAATATATCAACTTCGTCTCGTCGCAAAATGGCTGAAATAATGCCGATGCGACGTTTAATTTTAACTCACGCACTCCTTACTACACGCGTATAGTTTTTTCCACTTCATACAACAACTGTCTTTTTGTCCTTTTCATAACAAGTGCCTATAACCTTTCATAATTACTACACAACTGTCTTTTTGTCAACGTCCTAAGAACGAGTGTCTATAACCTCTTTCCCTTACTACACACGTTTTTGTGTCCACTTCATAACAAGGGTCTGTAACCTCTCACCTTTACTACACATGTGTCTCTATTCCTCTTCTCTACTACACACCTTCATCCTTACAAGATACATAGTTGTAAACCTCAGGCTTCTTCCAAACTACATATGTTTCGTTAACCCTCCACCTGTAACCACCTTCCCAAATGCACACGTTTCTGTAAACCATTTTCCTAACGGCACACGTGTCTGTAAACAATCTTCCTTACGACATACGTGTCTGTAAACCACCTTCCTTACGACACACGAGTCATTAAACCACCTTCCTTACGGCACACGTGTTTGTACATCTTCTTCCTTACAAACGTATGTGTATGTTACCCTCTCCTAAATACACTTGCGATTGTTAACACTCTTCCTAAATACTCACGTGTCTTTTAACCATCTTCCGAACTGCAAATATGTATCTAAATCCTCTCCCCACCTAACACACGTGTATGTTAACCTTCTACACACGTCATTATTGACCTAACTTCATACATCTTCATATCCTCTTTCTAACCTGGCTCGTGAATATTAACCCTCTGGCTTAGAAGACACGCACTTTATGATCTTCTCCCAGAAAGGAACTGTATCTCTGGACACACATACTTTACTACACGAGTCTGTTAACCTTTACCTACCGAAACAATGCTATGTGTTTGTGAAAGATGATGGCAACAAATATATCCCATAACCACATATCTGTTACAGATGTGTCTGATAAGCCTCAATCGCTGCGTCTGACAGACATTCAATTCAACGAAGCGCGCGTGTCCTGGTATGCCGCTGTGCAACAACGTAACATCACCGGCTTTAGGCTTGCACTGACCGATGTCATGGACAATGACGTACAAATCCAGCGTATAGGGCCTGTCCAACAGTTTGCCTTCGAGAAGCTCAAACCAGACCGGAAGTACACACTGACTGTGACGTCACTATTTGAAGTCAAGCAGGGGAAGGAATCAGACGCCATGGAATTCCAAACTCTTCCTTTCGGTGAGTGGGGGATTGTTATCAACATCTGATTTCTAGGTCTATAGTTACATGGTACTGTGTGGGGATGTTTTTCGTAGTCATCAGGATCCGCTGTTGGACGGTTGGAATCCCAATTTCGTGGAGTTCCAACATCGTGAGATGTCAGAAGTCCGCTTCGCCTGGGAGCTGGAAGTGTATTGAAGAATGACACAGAACACAAACGCTAAACATTGACGCGATCTTTCAAAGTCTCAACTTGTAAACAACCACTACCCAATAACTTACACGTGCAAGTACCAATTCATAGTACTGGTACACATTCGTATGTCATGCTACCATATGCATCATACTGCCCGTACAGCTTTGAAGACTTAAACAAGCACAGACACATATTCATTCACATAACGGGTTTATAAACACAGATAATAACTTTGACATATTCTTACGGTCAGTATCTGTTTTAAGCTTAACGCTATATCTTTGGAGCATACATCTGAATGCATTGTATTTGAAACGGTGACGTATGAATGTTATGTGCTGGAAGCATGTTCACCGTAAGTAATCAAATATATGAAATGCACTTAAACCATGAATTGTATTAACTCTGAAGCGTTCAACTGTTTTTCACATACGAGGGGGTATCAAAATTTGTTCATCCCAGTGTACATAGAACTGATATATCGTCGTGTGCTATAATTATTTTTCAACATTTATCACTTCGACACACTTACTACATCTCTTTTGAGGTCGGTTCAATCATTCATGTTTTGTAGAAGGTCAAATCCAGAACAACAACCTTGGTCCTCATAAATACATAGGGCACGAGCATTTGTCATTATGTATACGCCCATGAAGGCTTGTTGCGACCTATACAAGAAGACGCTCGTCCTTTCTTACTCATGGAGTCTAATGCGCCTATTGTTCAAGACTAGGTTGTGGACGGCGTCAATATTTTCTTTCGTGGTGCTGGTGGTGGGTTGACCTAAGACGGGGTCATTTTACAGACTCTCTCTCCCACACTGAAATTCCTTAACCAAACGTTTACTTGTGGCGTGTGATGAGCCAGCTTCCCATAGAAACACCATGCAGCCGTTTATCAAAATTCGTTGGTGATTGCCCGTCCGTGGTATGAAATTAATATGACTGCTCTATTCTCAATGTAGTCGATTTCAATGCTTAGAAGAAGGATACCTCAGAGTCGAAGTCAGTTATTAACAAGTCAGTAAACAGAACGGCAACGTAGATTTGCCAGACAAAAACGTCCTGATATCCCCTCGTTTCCTGCCTGCACTCATAAATAACATTGTTTAATGATGCATGCCACTTTCTCACAGCATTGACAGCATGTTGTGTTTTGGTAGAACTATAGGCTCTATCTAATCATGAGGAACTGTAGTTATGCCTCTTTTGCTTTGTACTGTCATATAGCGTGTGAGGTCAATTATATGAGGTCAGAATGTTAAAGCATTATGAAGAAGGCATGTAAACTGTTTACTACCATCAGCAACTTACATTTTGATTGATTGACTTCATATATATTTATGTGAACACATCTGCTGAGCATTTCAGAGTAGACAGGTTTCATTAAACCACTCGGAGCATATTGCACTGGGAACTTGGCGGTTTCCAATCTCTGACCAGCCTCATCAATAAGTGAAAGGCATAGACCATTTCTCATGTATTAAAAAGTGGTTTGTCTAGTCCTAGCACATCTGTTCAGAAGGCAATGATCCGGGAAGATAACGAAGAGAGTAATGTAAACTGAAAACACTTACTCTCTCCTTCATCAGCATTTGCTTGATGCAGTTACAAAATTATGATAATGACTTTATGTTTTGTTCTTACTTTTATCAAAGTTGAATACCGTAGGTGTTTGTCATTGGTACTCGTACTGGTACAAGCATACTGCTGGGAAATCATTTGTCTGATAAATCTGAATACCAATGATGGACCATCATACCAATGACAATACCAAAAGTGTGAACACAATTGTTCAAGTGAGCAATTTAGTTTGGAGAAAGCAAGTTTTGAATCTTCCTACTGAACCTTTAACTGGATGACGATGCCATTTGTTGCTGCAATACTGCAAATGATATGACAATCGCCTGCACAAGATGTTGGAATGCTTGCTACTTTTATAAAATGAAAGATATTCAAATCTGCACCATGACAACACGTTTACAATTTGTTCATAATGTGTAAGCAGCAGCACCTGTTATTCCCACAGCAATATGCATTGTCCATCGAGTTGAATATTGGCAGTGTAAATACTACAGTAAGTACTCTTCATTTTTACCCACATGTGTCTTTGGATCTCTGTTACATATGTTAGTATTGAAATATATCTACAGCTGTACACATTGTTCACCCATGATCACAACAGTACGTTCACATAGATGTCTTTTTGACACAGTAGTGTGACAAAGAATAGGATTATTGTTGCCCATCCTTAAATATCCTTCATTTTTGACAATATCCACACCATGATCTTCTTGTTAGTTTATTTCACTGATGGAGCTGGTGCTCCTGCCTTCCTATGTGAACCATCTACATGCCTTTCTGCACACAATATATACTGGATGGGCATACCAGGAACAACTCTGACATGACACGATCAGCATGTGTGTCTCAGAAAGAAGAATCTATGTTTTGGTTTCACAAGTTTCTGGTTTTCAATCCAATTCTTTCAGCACATATTTTAACACTACAGCCATAAAATATCAATCTATTCCACATCTATGCTGATGACACAACGATATACCTTGCTTCCAAACCATTGACTAGAACCTCAAGATGTGTCTGTCTGTTCCAAAACTGCAGACATGTCAGTGTAAACCACGAAAATTCAGAAGTGACTTTTTCATTGATCAAAATAATTGAAAACCAAAGGGCACCCCTATATTTAAGGCTGTACCTTTCAGTTTTGTCACATGGTTCTGTGCTATAGTTATGTATGTTATTTGTGATTCAAGCCTATAGCTGTCGTGCATATGAAGACCAAATATCACAAGAGGCCGTTAAGACCTTTGACGTCCTTTACCTCTTTGCTTTACCGATGCTTCCATGACAGTCTTCATTTAACCGAAGGATGGGAACCAAGTTGACAATCAACAGTTCTGGAGAACATTCCTGCATTTGGCTGTCAGATAATCACCTACGAGCCATGTAGAACCAGAATTAATATTACAGAATAATTTCGATTAGTGCTTGGATTTTAACAAACCTCCGGTAAAAATTCACATTTTAACCATGCATAACTAGTCCGTGTCATTACTAAAATGATTACATTTGTGGTCGGGCGACAGTAGTTAACGTTTTCAGGCAGTGCCTACTTTTTTCCCAAGTGTATATGTTGATATAAATGTTTACATTTTGCTTAGGTTAAAATCCCGCTCATAAGCATGACGGAATGGTAATGTTAATCAAAATTAAATTCAGATTATTAGAGTTATAGTGCTCAATTACCAGTATGCTTCGACATACTACTGCCCAAACTACCTCACCTTCTTTCTGCATGGGCTCCTCTCGAGCTGGACTCTAACAGTACTTTACCAAACAGGAATGGGAACAATAACAAACCATCCTGATCAAACAGCATGAGTCTTTGACTATCAAATATCCCTTGGCAGTTCCTGGTCCCCCGAGTAACATTCGCACAACACCATTGAATGACACCGCTGTGCTGTTGGAATGGACGCAAACCGTTGATGAAGAAACACGCAGGTACATACGCGGGTACACCATCGTCTACAGTAAACAAGATGGCATGCGTCGAGATGAGGAGAGTCTGCAGGTTTCAGATGTCAACATGGCTGTCATCTCTGCCCTGGCCCCAGACACCAGCTACAGATTGCGCATTCGTGCAGAGACTCTGACGGAGGCGGGAGAGTATACCAAACCAATCTATATGAATACACGTAATTTACACTTTACTATCTATGCCTTAAAATCGCAAAATAACATCCAAGATTAACTGTTCATAGTCATAAATGTGAAGCAATCATTCATTTAAAATAACAAAAGATTAGATTGGAGTACAAACTATAATCTGAACCTTGAATTTATCCCTGCAGTTGTATCTGACAAGCCTGTGTCACTAAGGACCAGTAAAATAGAGTTCAACCAAGTAGGGGTGTTATGGTATGCCCCTATTAATGATAGAGGCATCAGCGGGTTCCAGCTTGTGCTCAGTGATGTTGACGGAGGAGGCATGGCAGAACTGAACACGCCCCCAATCTTGCAGTATACACTGTCAGGCCTTAAACCTGACAGGAAGTACACATTTAGTGTGACATCTCAACTTGGGGACCACGAAGGGAAGACTTCAGACCTGCTTTCCTTCAGGACCCTGCCTTATGGTTAGTTGTAAATATGGAAAATATTTGTAGAAAATAAGACTTTGTAGTTGACATCTGTAAGAACTTGTTGAATGCCTATACATTTTATCAGCATCCAAGGATAAATATTGAAGAAACTATATCAGAATATCTATCCTGTTTTGTATTATCTAAGGATATAAGCACAGTCCTGATTCAGTTATCAGAAGCTCATTATGTGTTACTGAATACTTGGAAAGCAAATTGTTCAGTGTCATTGTTATGCAAAACATGATAGTTTCAAAGAGGCATAATGTAGACATTCGCCCTGGTGGCAGTCACTGTATGACTTCCTGGTGACTCTTCTTGGCAGTTCCGGAAGCACCAAGTGATGTCACGATAACATCTCCTAATGAAACCACTCTTGTGGTGAAATGGACGCCAACTGTGAATGATGAAACACGCGGCTACGTTGTGGGTTACAACATCGCCTACAGCAAGGAGGACAGAAGTAGAGGCGATGGAGGTGAAGAAGGCGTGCAGGTTGCAGGGAGTTCCAGCATGGCAGTCATCACATCACTTGATGCTGACACCAGCTACAGAGTACGTGTGCGGGCTGAGACGTTGACGGAAAAGGGGCAATATAGTGAACCACTCGTTTTTCAGACTCGTGAGTTACAGCATATGCTAATATGATTTGTGAATGTTGCTTGTTTTATAACTGCTTAACTCTACAAAAGAATTGTGGAAAAGAATATATGATTGTTCCTCCCCATCTTACAAATCTGTTTCTAAAATTGTGAGATGCAAATCAATGTTTGAATGCAATAAAAAAGGAATATTGATCAATCTTTTAAGCACATGGGCCATGTAAAACAACGTCTTAAACCCTCCATAAACCGCACATTACTGATGTCAGATCGATGTGGTTGTTTGCAGTCGAGACAGATAAACCATTAGGATTACAAGCATCCCGTATACAGTTCAACCAAGCCAGGTTGTCCTGGTATGCCCCGGTTACACAGAGGAACATTACAAACTTTCACCTTGTGCTCCATAATCTCAAAACAGAAGAGGTAACCAGGAGTGTCATACCACCACGTACAGTGCACATTGTGTCAGGCCTCTTTGCTGACACCCAGTACGAACTTGTCATTACGTCCCAGATGGATGATCAAGAAGGGAAGTCTTCAGATGTATTTGAGTTCAAAACACTGCCTTTTGGTGAGTCTTTTATAATGATTTCGTCACATCACTAACAGATCGTCTTCGAGAACCTTATCTGAATAGAGACGATATGTTCTTCACCGTCATTATCCAAAAGTTGATATTTGATACACGATACTTTTCACAGTGCCTGATGCCCCCGACAATATTGTATCAAGGCCACTGAATGACACTGCTGTTCTGGTGGAGTGGACACCCACAGTCAACAATGAAACCCGTAGCTACATCCTTCGCTACCACATTACATACAACAAGTTAGAAAGAAGTCAGAGGGTGACTGACATGAGAAGTGTGCAAGTGCCAGGGCACTCCAACACAGCCATCATCACTTTCCTGGATGCAGACACCAGCTATATACTGCGTGTGCGTGCTGAGACTCTGACTGAGAATGGAGCACTGAGCCCGTCAATAATTGTGCGCACACGTGAGTCTGTATTGAATTATTGCTGGGTGTGCCACTGAAATTGAAAACATGACAATCTCATATGACATTCAACAAACGAGAGAACATCAAAGTCTCATGTCATGTAATTTTTTTTAACCTGCGTATAAATTTTAATATTCAATGGTTTGAAAATGATTGGATCGATGCAAATGCTTACATTTCAGTTGAGTCTGACAAACCACGGGCAGTGAGGACAACGAATATCGAGTTTAACCAAGTTGAGCTGTCGTGGTATGCCCCTACCGAGCAGAGAAATATTACAGGTTTTGAAGTCCTCCTGACTGATAACGTCACTGGAGAGGTCACAGGTCAAGAGACACTACCGAATTCTCGCTACACTGTCACCAATCTCAAAGCAGACCGGACTTACAAACTGACAGTGACATCACTGCTTGGATCACTTCAAGGAAAGACTTCTGATGTACTGGAATTTGTAACAAAGCCATTTGGTGAGATTAGAGAATATTGGTCGATGTATTTCTCTCCTTTGTAAGCACCTCCTGGCTGACTATGGGAAATAAATTGATAATTGTCGCCACAAATCTGGCATGTTTTGAGATCTATTTACATATGTTTGTATTATACATATTATTTGGTTCACTCTTGGCTCTTATAACGTTTTAAATGTTGACTGAAATGGTATGGAGTGTGCGTTTTGTTATCATGTCTATGGTGCATGGACATTAATGTGTATGTGTGATATTAATGTGCATGCAATATTTTCACTTTTACTAATACCAACACATGTTGTTATTACGAGCACAGTTTGCCTTATTGGTAGATGGTATTTAGGGTATGACACTATCAACAGCGTTGATACATGTGACAAACAGTGAGATTGTGAAGCATAATAATAAAAGGGATACAGTTGTATCAGTATTCCTTTATGATGTATTGTCGAATCAATAACAGTTGGTTTGTTCACAAACTCTTTCAAACAATGTCTGGCAACTGCATTGTTTAAAGTTCTAAACAAAGTTTTGACTGAATTTGATACTTCTGATACAGTGCCTGCTGTTATCGAGGATGTGGCAGTGACACCACTCAATCAATCCACCCTCCTCATTCACTGGAAGGTGCCAGACAGTATAGGATCACACGACTACATCACGCTCTACCGTGTAGAGTACAGCCTTCTGGATCGGTTCCAGAGGGTGAAGGAGACATGGAGCCTTGAGGTTGATGAGGGTGAAGACCATGCATACATCACAGGGCTGGAAGGGGACACAGAGTACAGGATACGGATGAGGTCAGAGACAGAGACCCAGCAGGGAAAATACACAAGAGGAAAGCGCACAAAAACATGTGAGTAGATAAACTGCTCATGGGCAAAGCATCTTCAAAAATTGTTACTTTCATGAACTCCAATATGGTGGTCGTGGTGTAATCTGTAAGTAGTGGCTAGCACAGAGACTATTGTTGGCGTCAAGGTTGTGTAAGCATTACAGAAGTTTTTGTGGTTAGCACCAAGCCAAAGACTGGCATCAGGATGTGTTTTCTAACTGGCTAGCTGTGAATAGTAAGGACATGGGTAGTAACCAACGAGATGCAATGAATTTACGGGTTATCTGTCTCGCACAAAGGATCAGGTCTTACACTATTGATTGAGAGTAGGGTAGGGTATTTTGTATACTACTCATTGTCATTTTAGAAAGAAACTTAAGTAACAAGAATGTATGACACGTTAAGCCTGCCAAGAAGCTTCCGTGAAGTTAGTCTTTGATTCAGACGACCTGATGTGTGACTTCTTATCTAATTGTTCTCAACAATGAAGCAACTGACTATTGAGTTTAGATGTTCTCTAAAATGCACATTTGCAAATATCGGAGAATTATTACGCTCGACATTTGCCCTTTTATAATTAATGTACATTTGGAATTTATGATCACAAGTGAATTCATACGTGTGTAGGTTGGATGGTTTGCTGAGTGTTTAGGCTTGATACCCTTTATGGCTATTCTATTCATAATTTGCTCATGCGCGTCTACGGATCATAACACTGCAATATCGTTAAAAGCTGTGCAAAGTATGCAAATTTAATGTTGATACATCATGTTGATAACGTCTATGTGCAGTGATGTCCGAGAAACCACGGCGTCTGAAAGTAACAGAGGTACTATTCAGCTCCATCAGCATATCGTGGAAGGCGCCTATAAAACAACGGAACATCACCAGCTTCAAAGTGATTACTTTCGACACCATCGAAGGGACGGAACAGACCAGGCAGATACCACCAAAGCTCAACTTTAGAATCGATAACCTACTGCCAGACAGAGCATATGGGATCAGGGTGTCAGCTCTCATTGGTGAACACGAGGGAAAGTCGTCCAAAACAATTGAGGTCAAAACCAATCCTTACAGTGAGTTTTGTTGTTGTTGTTGTTGTTGTTTAATGCTGCACTCAACAGTACTCCAGCTATATGACTGCGTCTGTAAATAATCGAGTCTGGACCAGACAATCCAGCGATTGCCATCATGATCACGGATGGGTTGCTAACGACCTATTCTAGCCCGGATCACGGGTCCCTTACAGTGAGTAATTGTCAAGACAGAAGTAGCAATCCCTACTGGTATGGATAGGTCATCTATTGGATCAAAGCACCGCATCAGTGTTTATTGTGGTCTGAAATATACAGAAGGTGGGCCCCAATGATTCGTTTGTAATTTAGAATGGAAATTGTCAGACATAATCAGATTATCCACAGAAACAGATTCCATTTGACATTAAGGGAAAATATAGCTGTTAAAATAATTTGAATGGACCACTGAAAATCAGTGATGGCACCAGCCGTTGGCGAAAATTGTGAGCACATGATAGTCTGCCTTGTGCTTGGCAGTAAGGGGATAAAAGAAGGACTGGTCGTCACCCGAGTCAGTATACTGTGTCTGAAGGGTCATCCATGTTAAACTGTGGCATGGTTTCTCATTGGGCTAGCATTATTAGCCAGCATTTGTCCGAACTAGTACAAGCACCCCCACCCCCTCCTAAATACATATACATCGATATTATAACATAAATACTTTTGACCTCCACGTTAAACTTATTTTGACCTCACCACACATTACAGTCAAACTTTGCACTTACTATTCCGTTAGATGCATGCAGAACTGTGCAGTGAGGATGATGTGGAAACTGTGAATCTGATGCAAGTAGATCCTATTCATTACGTATAATGGCATTTGTTCCAGTTCCAAGGGCTCCTACTGAGGTAAAGGCCCACCCAGTAAATGCTACTGCTGTGTACGTAGAGTGGAAGGCACCCGATGATCTGTTCGCAAGGCAGTACGTCATCGGCTTTAACATCCAGTATGACCGGTCGCGATCCCGACTTCCGGTTGAGAAGTGGAGTCTTCTGGAGCATTATGGGGGCAAGCAGAACTCGCTGATTACCTCCCTTGAACCCGACACGGAGTACAATCTGATGGTGAGCGTGAACACCAAGACAGAGAAGGGCGAGCTCAGTCGACAGATATCAGTCAAAACTAGTGAGTTCATCATTCTCATTCAAAGATAGCGTGGTGTAATTACACACAATCAATTAGCAATAAACAGTATCGGTGACTTTAACGACAAAAGTGTTGGATACATAATACAGTATATAAGATTTCACAAATTAAAAGAAAAATTAGTGAGAACCAAAATAGTCTTTGTATTTTCATCACATAACACTTGAATTGATTATTATTTGTTTTGCAATCTCATAACCAGAACTTAATTTGGTCACTCGACCATTTTAATCACAAGCATAGGCTGTTGTTTCACAATCCCCGTTGTATTATCTGCCAAAAGGACTCCAGACAAAAGTAGTCAGGGTTCTACATTCTTTACTCTGAAAACCACGATCGTGTATACCAAATCCTTATGTTTCTTCATTAAAGTGGTATCAGCTGAGCCTATGGATCTGAAGACAACACGGGTGTCGTTTGACGAGTTTGTCTTGACGTGGGACGCCCCGGTGGAAGAGAGAAACATCACTGGGTTCGCCGTCTACCTCACAGACAGGACGAACAACAGTCGCGTCCGGGAGGAGATGCCTGCAGTCCTCACCCACACATTCCAGGGTCTCACCCCCAGCACAGTCTACCTGGCTGATGTCGCCTCCATCCTCCACAGTGGGGAGGGGATATTGTCACAACAGATTCCAGTTGAGACAGCGCCATTCAGTGAGTACAAACTGTACAGGAGGATTTTAAAAAAATCACTTATAAATGATTCTTTGAATAGTTACTGTCTACATCATGTGAACACATTGCTTTATCATGTATTAGATAGGTTTCTGGGCAAGATACAATGAAAGGGCATCCAAAGAATGAAAGATAAGGTAGGGACTACCTTCAATGTTTACAAACAAACTTGGCGTCGTCCTTGTCTATCTCCGATCGAGTCGGTCTTTTGGACATATTACTGGTTATATCGTTATCATAATCAAACTACTAGTCTGTCGTAAATCAGTGTCTTACTCAGGCCTGAAACACGTGTAGGCAAGCGAAACAAATAAGCGAGACTGCTAGTGGGATCAGTTTCCATATCTTAACTTGTACACTTCTTCAAAATTAAAAATATTTGCGTTTGGCCGAAATTATGCTTGTTTCATTTTGACGCGATGACATCTGACTGCATGTCCACAACGTTATCATAGACTAGAGTAGCTTCCCTTTGGCAAAGGGCAATTACTCTAGCCGGCGGACCGATGGATTGCCGTAAAAGGTGATCATTGACATTGAAAATGCAAGTGTCGTTTTGCCTTTATGATAGTTATGCCACTGTCTATAAAACAAGTCTCAATTAAAATTATATTGACTGTTGTCACAGATCGACTGACTACTAACCACTGACCTTGTGACATGATACATTAATGCGCACATTCCATGAAAACTTCAAATGTTTGGGTATCATTTGTAAGGTTTGAGAAATACTTTTTTTGATAATTGAATGTAAGAACCAAATAATATGAAAAAGAGATTTTCACGTTTGTGTGTTTTTGAAGGGTCAATACCCTGTATTACGAATAATCGTTGTATATAGCGAGCCTTGGCGGGACGAAGGCTCAAAACGGTATCCGTTGGGTACTACATGTATACATGTACCTATAACTATGCAAATATAGAAGGTCAGGTCGGTAGTACTTTCATTGTTTACAAATATGGCGCTGCTCTTGTCTATCGGCAATCGAGTGAGCATTATCCATCCGGGATCTGGACAAATTGCTTGGAAAATGACGTATCTGAGACATTTTACATGTGACGTAAGTCTGGAGATATATTTTCGAAACACTTAGGAGGACTAGATTAAATTTCATATCTGTTCTTGAAGATCTCTACGGCTTTGGCTCTTTTCCCTAATATTAAAATTTTACCTTGATTTATTTGGTCGCGGTGTTGGACATGTAACTATTTTGTAACGTTATATGACAGGCCAGGCAGACCCTTAACAAACGTGACGTCCCGTAGACAGGAGTGACTTCACTTTGCTTGTTTGTTTGTTGTTTAACGCCGCACTCAGCAATACTCCAGCTATATGACGGCAGTCTGTAAATAATCGAGTCTGGACCAGACAATCCAGTGATTTACATCATGAGCATCAATCCACACAATCAGGATACGATGACATGCATCAAAGAAGTCAGCGAGCCTGACCGATCCCGTTAGTCGCCCCTTGCGACAAGCACAGTCGCCTTTTACGGCAAGCTAGGGTTGGTGAAGACCTATTCTATCCCGGATCTTTACGGGTCAACTTCACTTTGATAAAGGGTAATTCAATTTGAAACCTAACGCCCTGCGGGAGGTTTCAAATGTTAAGCCCATTTATCTAAGTGAGTTATTCTTACCTCTCTATCGGTATTGCATGAACTTAATTACATACCATGTGAAGAATGTGAATTACAAAATGGGACATTATTTACATTGTTTCTTGCAGTCCCCGATGCTCCGACTGAAGTCCAGGCGAGGTCTTATAACTTTTCCACCATAGCCTTCATGTGGCAGCTCCCAGAGGACCCCGCCTCCCGTGTCTACATTAAGGGGTCTCAAATCCTGTACACCAAGCTGAGCCGGGACGGGAGCCCCCCTGTTACTAGGCAACACCAGGTGCTCGGTCAGAGCAGGGAGAACCTTCTGACGTCACTCGAGGAGGACTCAACTTACAGAGTACAGATCCGGGGCTTCTCCGACACTGCCGAAGGGAAGTTGAGTCGGGCCATCACAATTTCCACCCCTCCTCAAGGTAATTGCGTCATCACAATATCTACCCCTCCGAAAGGTCCATGTGTCCTAAAAATATCAACCCCTCTCACAGGTAAATCTGTGTTCACAATCCGCCAGTCTCACAGGTGCCACGGTGTTATCACAGGTGCCACTGTGTTATCACAATATGCATCCCCCTGTCGGGTGACTGTGTCATCACAATATCCACCCCTCTGACAGGTGCCACTGTGTTATCACAAGATGCACCCCCCTGACGGGTGACTGGGTCATCACAATAGCCACCCCTCTGACAGGTAAGTGTGTCATCACAATGTCCACCCCTCTGACAGGTAACTGTGTCATTGCAATATCCACCCCTCTGACAGGTGTCATCACAATGTCCACCCCTCTGACAGGTAACTGTGTCATTGCAATATCCACCCCTCTGACAGGTGTCATCACAATATCCACCCCTCTGACAGGGGTCATCACAATGTCCACCCCTCTGACAGGTAACTGTGTCATTGCAATATCCACCCCTCTGACAGGTGACTGTGTCATCACAATAGCCACCCCTCTGACAGGTGACTGTGTCATCACAATACCCACCCCTTTGACAGGTAAGTGTGTCATCACAATGTTCACCCCTCTGACAGGTGACTGTGTCATCACAATATCCACCCCTCTGACAGGTGACTGTGTCATCACAGTATCCACCCCTCCGACAGGTGACTGTGTCATCACAATATCCACCCCTCTGACAGGTGACTGTGTCATTGCAATATCCACCCCTCTGACAGGTGACTGTGTCATCACAATAGACACCCCTCTGACAGGTGACTGTGTCATCACAGTATCCACCCCTCCGACAGGTGACTGTGTCATCACAATATCCACCCCTCTGACAGGTGACTGTGTCATTGCAATATCCACCCCTCTGACAGGTGACTGTGTCATCACAATAGACACCCCTCTGACAGGTGACTGTGTCATCACAATGTTCACCCCTCTGACAGGTGACTGTGTCATCACAATATCCTCCCCTCTGACAGGTGACTGTGTCATCACAATATCCACCCCTCTGACAGGTAACTGTGTCATCACAGTATCCACCCCTCTGACAGGTGACTGTGTCATCACAATATCCACCCCTCTGACAGGTAACTGTGTCATCACAGTATCCACCCCTCTGACAGGTAACTGTGTCATCACAATATCCACCCCTCTGACAGGTGTCATCACAATATCCACCCTCTGACAGGTGACTGTGTCATCACAATAGCCACCCCTCTGACAGGTAACTGTGTCATCACAATATCCACCCCTCTGACAGGTGACTGTGTCATCACAATGTTCACCCCTCTGACAGGTGACTGTGTCATCACAATAGCCACCCCTCTGACAGGTGACTGTGTCATCACAATGTTCACCCCTCTGACAGGTGACTGTGTCATCACAATATCCACCCCTCTGACAGGTGTCATCACAATATCCACCCCTCTGACAGGTAACAGTGTCATCACAGTATCCACCCCTCTGACAGGTGACTGTGTCATCACAATGTCCACCCCTCTGACAGGTGACTGTGTCATCACAATATCCACCCCTCTGACAGGTGTCATCACAATATCCACCCTCTGACAGGTGACTGTGTCATCACAGTATCCACCCCTCCGACAGGTGACTGTGTCATCACAATATCCACCCCTCTGACAGGTGACTGTGTCATTGCAATATCCACCCCTCTGACAGGTGACTGTGTCATCACAATAGACACCCCTCTGACAGGTGACTGTGTCATCACAATGTTCACCCCTCTGACAGGTGACTGTGTCATCACAATATCCTCCCCTCTGACAGGTGACTGTGTCATCACAATATCCACCCCTCTGACAGGTAACTGTGTCATCACAGTATCCACCCCTCTGACAGGTGACTGTGTCATCACAATATCCACCCCTCTGACAGGTAACTGTGTCATCACAGTATCCACCCCTCTGACAGGTAACTGTGTCATCACAATATCCACCCCTCTGACAGGTGTCATCACAATATCCACCCTCTGACAGGTGACTGTGTCATCACAATAGCCAACCCTCTGACAGGTAACTGTGTCATCACAATATCCACCCCTCTGACAGGTGACTGTGTCATCACAATGTTCACCCCTCTGACAGGTGACTGTGTCATCACAATAGCCACCCCTCTGACAGGTGACTGTGTCATCACAATGTTCACCCCTCTGACAGGTGACTGTGTCATCACAATATCCACCCCTCTGACAGGTGTCATCACAATATCCATCCCTCTGACAGGTAACAGTGTCATCACAGTATCCACCCCTCTGACAGGTGACTGTGTCATCACAATGTCCACCCCTCTGACAGGTGACTGTGTCATCACAATATCCACCCCTCTGACAGGTGTCATCACAATATCCACCCTCTGACAGGTGACTGTGTCATCACAATAGCCACCCCTCTGACAGGTAACTGTGTCTTCACAATATCCACCCCTCTGACAGGTAACTGTTTCATCACAATATCCACCCCTCTGACAGGTAACTGTGTCATCACAATATCCACCCCTCTGACAGGTGGCATCACAATATCCACCCCTCTGAAAGGTGTCATCACAATATCCATCCCTCTGACAGGTGTCATCACAATATCCACCCTCTGACAGGTAACTGTGTCATCTCAATATCCACCCCTCTGACAGGTAACTGTGTCATCACAATATCCACCCCTTTGACAGGTGTCATCACAATATCCACCCCTCTGACAGGTGTCATCACAGTATCCATCCCTCTGACAGGTGACTGTGTCATCACAATGTTCACCCCTCTAACAGGTGACTGTGTCATCACAATATCCACCCCTCTGACAGGTGACAGGTGTCATCACAATATCCACCCCTCTGACAGGTAACTGTGTCATCACAGTATCCACCCCTCTGACAGGTGACTGTGTCATCACAATGTCCACCCCTCTGACAGGTAACTGTGTCATCACAATGTTCACCCCTCTAACAGGTGACTGTGTCATCACAATATCCACCCCTCTGACAGGTGTCATCACAATATCCACCCCTCTGACAGGTAACTGTGTCATCACAGTATCCACCCCTCTGACAGGTGACTGTGTCATCACAATATCCACCCCTCTGACAGGTGTCATCACAATATCCACCCCTCTGACAGGTAACTGTGTCATCACAATATCCACCCCTCTGACAGGTGTCATCACAATATCCACCCTCTGACAGGTGACTGTGTCATCACAATGTTCACCCCTTTAACAGGTAACTGTGTCATCACAATATCCACCCCTCTGACAGGTGGCATCACAATATCCACCCCTCTGAAAGGTGTCATCACAATATCCATCCCTCTGACAGGTGTCATCACAATATCCACCCTCTGACAGGTAACTGTGTCATCTCAATATCCACCCCTCTGACAGGTAACTGTGTCATCACAATATCCAACCCTCTGACAGGTGTCATCACAATATCCACCCCTCTGACAGGTGTCATCACAGTATCCATCCCTCTGACAGGTGACTGTGTCATCACAATGTTCACCCCTCTAACAGGTGACTGTGTCATCACAATATCCACCCCTCTGACAGGTGACAGGTGTCATCACAATATCCACCCCTCTGACAGGTAACTGTGTCATCACAGTATCCACCCCTCTGACAGGTGACTGTGTCATCACAATGTCCACCCCTCTGACAGGTAACTGTGTCATCACAATGTTCACCCCTCTAACAGGTGACTGTGTCATCACAATATCCACCCCTCTGACAGGTGTCATCACAATATCCACCCCTCTGACAGGTAACTGTGTCATCACAGTATCCACCCCTCTGACAGGTGACTGTGTCATCACAATATCCACCCCTCTGACAGGTGTCATCACAATATCCACCCCTCTGACAGGTAACTGTGTCATCACAATATCCACCCCTCTGACAGGTGTCATCACAATATCCACCCTCTGACAGGTGACTGTGTCATCACAATGTTCACCCCTTTAACAGGTGACTGTGTCATCACAATATCCACCCCTCTGACAGGTGTCATCACAATATCCACCCCTCTGACAGGTAACTGTGTCATCACAGTATCCACCCCTCTGACAGGTCACTGTGTCATCACAATATCCACCCCTCTGACAGGTGTCATCACAATATCCACCCCTCTGACAGGTAACTGTGTCATCACAATATCCACCCCTCTGACAGGTGTCATCACAATATCCACCCTCTGACAGGTGACTGTGTCATCACAATATCCACCCCTCTGACAGGTGACTGTGTCATCACAATAGCCACCCCTCTGACAGGTAACTGTGTCATCACAATATCCACCCCTCTGACAGGTAACTGTGTCATCACAATATCCACCCCTCTGACAGGTAACTGTGTCATCACAATATCCACCCCTCTGACAGGTGGCATCACAATATCCACCCCTCTGACAGGTGTCATCACAATATCCATCCCTCTGACAGGTGTCATCACAATATCCACCCTCTGACAGGTAACTGTGTCATCACAATATCCACCCCTCTGACAGGTAACTGTGTCATCACAATATCCACCCCTCTGACAGGTGGCATCACAATATCCACCCCTCTGACAGGTGTCATCACAGTATCCATCCCTCTGACAGGTGTCATCACAATAGCCACCCCTCTGACAGGTGACAGGTGTCATCACAATATCCACCCCTCTGACAGGTGACTGTGTCATCACAATATCCACCCCTCTGACAGGTAACTGTGTCATCACAATATCCACCCCTCTGACAGGTAACTGTGTCATCACAATATCCACCCCTCTGACAGGTAACTGTGTCATCACAATATCCACCCCTCTGACAGTTGGCATCACAATATGCACCCTCTGACAGGTGTCATCACAATATCCATCCCTCTGACAGGTGTCATCACAATATCCACCCTCTGACAGGTAACTGTGTCATCACAATATCCACCCCTCTGACAGGTAACTGTGTCATCACAATATCCACCCCTCTGACAGGTGGCATCACAATATCCACCCCTCTGACAGGTGTCATCACAGTATCCATCCCTCTGACAGGTGTCATCACAGTATCCATCCCTCTGACAGGTGTCATCACAATATCCACCCCTCTGACAGGTGTCATCACAGTATCCATCCCTCTGACAGACAGCTGTGTCATCACAATATCCACCCCTCTGACTGAGGATTGTGTCATCACAATACCCACCCCATCACCCCTGTGTCATAACAATATCCACCGCTCTGACCTTTATCGACACGTGTTGCTATACTTAATATCACAATACACGAAGGTTCGGTTTTCTATGTATTAGCTCTGTATCAAACACAGGAATGGAAGGCATGAGCGAAATCGGACTATAACTGGTAGAACATCAGTAGAAGTCACTCTGTTACAGTTCCCGACTGGGCTCCAGAGCTGTTGACCGCGAGTGTCGAGTACGACGCGTCAGTCAGGTTGGAGTGGTATGTCCACTCCCCCAAGGCTGCATTGGACCACACCCTTAAGTACGAGGTGCAGTACTTCCGCCAGCCCGACCCCTACAGCGACATGTACGTCAGGGACCTGGACTCAGGGCCGACGATAATCGACAACCTGGAGACCCATTCCACGTACTCCTTCCGGCTGCGAGCGTACAACCCGTCTGGCTTCGGACCCTGGAGTAGCAGTCTTGAGGCTACCCTGGATGGGCCAGGTAGAGTCTTAGCGGGCACTTGGCACATGTTGTTTGTTTGTTTGTTTGTTTGTTTGTTGTTTAACGCCGCACTCAGCATTATTCCAGCTATATGACGGCGGTCTGTAAATAATCGAGTCTGGACCAGACAATCCAGTGATTTACATCATGAACATCGATCAACGCAATTGGGAAAAGATGACATGCATCAACCAAGTCAGCGAGCCTGACCACCCGATCCCGTTAGTCGCCTTTTACGACAAGCATAGTCACCTTTTACGGCAAGCATGGGTTGGTGAAGACCTATTCTACCCCGGATCCTCACGGGTACATGGCACGTGTGACTCATTGAAAATCTAGGCCTCTGTTGCGCGGCCGGTTTAAATAGAACATATGACCGCTTCCAGTACCGTTAGTTTGCCTTCATATCAACGTAAAATAATTTAATTTGCTTGTAAGATTTTACGAGAACTTCTAGCATTTATATATCCAGAAAGTAAAGCAAAACGTTACATTTTTGTTATAAACTTTATGATCAGTTTGTTTGTTGTTTAATGCCACTCGGCAATATCCCAGCTATATGCGGCGGTCTGTATATAATCGAGTCCGGACCTGACAATCCACTGATTGATATGATGAGCATCAATCTACACAGTTGAGATACGATGACATGCATCAACCAAGTCAGCGAGCCTGACCACCAATGCCGTTAGTCGCCACTTACGACTAGCATAGTTTCCTTTTACGACTAGCATTGGTTGCTGAAGTGCAATTCTACCCGGGATCTTCACTAAACGGGTGTTACACTTTATCTGTGTTTACAGCTTCAAGATTGTAATCCTGTAAACATTAGTTATTGTTCTAACTAGTGACTTACTAATACACTCCGAGAATGTCAGTAAATTGAATTAACAGAAAATTTCGGAATGGTTTATTCCAGATCTGGGTGTCATCAACATCATGCATATCAACAGGACCGGGCCGTATTCCTCCAAAGTTCGCTGGGTCCAGAGAGGCAAGACTGACTACGACGTCCAGGGGTACCGCGTGTACTACACCCCCATCGACTACAAGTTCCAGCCTGTTCCGGGGCAACGATTCGTTGATTCAGTTGGAACTCGAAACCGAGTCGACATCATCCGTAGTCTGCGTCCAGAGCAATACTATCACGTACAAGTTGCCGCTTTTGCCGACGAGGGAATTGGAAGACGTACTGACGTTGTCTTTCTCCCTGACATGGACTATCCGCGGATCCTGATTGGACCACGTAACACGAAAATTGCTGCCAAGCTGGCTGTGACTTTTTCTTGCAAGGTCGTTGGAGAGCCGGGGTTTACTGTTTTCTGGAAAAAGGGTTTGAAACGGATTACCAAGCGGCTTTCAAGATTTCAATATAAGATTGATAACGGGACCTCAATATTGAGGATCAAATCGGCTCGGCCACGAGACACCGGCGTGTATGAATGTGTACTTAATGTGAACAATACATTATACAGCAAGAGTGCAAAACTGGAGGTGTACGATCAGGCGGGTGAGTTTCTGGTACCTGTTATTATGTCTGACACGAGTGTTTATGTCTGACACGTGTTTATGTCTGAAACATGTATTTATGTCTGACACGTGTTTATGTCTGGCACACATGGTTTATGTCTGACACGTGTTTATGTCTGAAACATGTATTTATGTCTGACACAAGTTGATTATGTCTGACACATGTTTTTGTGTCTGATGCATTTGTTTATGTCTGACACGTGTGTTTATGTCTGGCACGTGTGTTTATGTCTGACACGTATGTTTATGTCTATTGTGTGTGTTATTGTCTGATTAGTGTGTTTATGTCTGATATCTGTGTATTCGGTTGACACGTGTGTGTATGTCTTGGGGAGCTTTCAGATACTATTTTATAACAATAATATTTTATGAGGTAAACCTTAGGACAAAATATCCATTCAAGTTCTATTCTGATATTTGCCCGTAAGCATTATTTTACTCATCCCACCCCCAAATCTAACACCTGCGCGTCAAGCTCACACCCAGATATTACTGTATAGGGTATTTCTAATGAAAGTAGATATCTCTCACTATCTCACACAGTGGTATCAGCTGTCTCTGAAAATTGGGCCTCAAATCGAAATTGAAAAACAATTTGTTTGTTTGTTGTTTAACGCCGTTCTCGGCAATACTCCAGCTATATGATGCGGTCTGTAAATAATCGAGTTTGGGAGAGACAATCCAATGAGTGACATCACGAGTATCGATCTACGCAATTAAATAATATAAAGAAGTTACAGACTGTTAGTCATTCGGTAAAATATGAAGTTATAAGTATTGTCACTTGTGTGATATGCAACACTTGTTCATCTCGACTGACGGACACGTTTTCCATTTTTTGCAGCCATCCCTTCCGGGTACCCGTCCTTCACCCGTAACCCGACACTGACGTCAGTAGAGACCGGCTCCAATACCTCCTTCATCTGCGAGGCGTCAGGAAATCCCATTCCCATCATCAAATGGCACAAAAACAACATCCCGCTTCAGGAGACCAACAAATTTGTCATCACACAGATCGGTAAGACTCGAGTAGAGCAATGCAGTTAACTAACATAAACCATAACTAACACATAACTCAACTTGCATTCTGTTGTCAACCATAGCTCAACATGCATTATTTAGAAGATAAACATCCTGTGTTTTTAATGTAGAGCTACGTAACCTTTATATTTAACTGAGCTAAATTGAATTTTGAACCGGAACCAGCTTTGCAAAGCTTTCGTTCAAAACCCCACGTCACCATTATGACGTCATATCGCTCATTGTGACGCACACGATATGACGTCACAGTCGGAGAGTCAAAATTTCAAGCTCTCTGTTGTCCCTAAAACTTAAAATACACTCTCTTTGAAGATTTCTATCGTGTTTTCTGCACGTAATGTGGTGCCAGACACCCTTTGAATATTGTAGTAACCGCAACTTTGCATTTTGTAACCTGTAAGTGTAGATATAATTATTTGAATATGCCTCCCGACAGTGACTGAAAAAGTACTATTCTATGAATATTATTAGCTTCCGCGGTGGTGCGGCCGTCAAACCAACTGTTTCAGTCAGAGGGGATTTATTGTGATTTAATAGCCTCTGATTGACAAATCAGAATCGAGTAATTTTCCAAATTTATGATAGAATCGCGGATCACGTAGATGTAGGCCGTCAGTTAACTCAACATGCATTATCGTGGATAACATAGGTGTGGGCCGTCAGATAACTGAACATGCATTATTCATGGATAACGTAGATGTGGGTCGTCAGATAACTGAAATACATTATTCATGGATAACGTAGATGTGGGCCGTCAGATAACTGAAATACATTATTCATGGAAAACATAGGTGTGGGCCGTCAGATAACTGAAATTCATTATTCATGGATAACGTAGATGTGGGTCGTCAGATAACTGAAATACATTATTCATGGATAACGTAGATGTGGGTCGTCAGATAACTGAAATACATTATTCATGGATAACGTAGATGTGGGTCGTCAGATAACTGAAATACATTATTCGTGGATAACGTAGATGTGGGTCGTCAGATAACTGAAATACATTATTCATGGATAACGTAGATGTGGGCCGTCAGATAACTGAAATACATTATTCGTGGATAACGTAGATGTGGGTCGTCAGATAACTGAAATACATTATTCGTGGATAACGTAGATATGGGTCGTCAGATAACTCAACATGCATTATTCGTGGATAACGTAGATGTCGTCCGTCAGATAACTCAACATGCATTATTCGTGGATTACGTAGAAGTCGTCCGTCAGATAACTCAACATGCATTATTCGTGGATTACGTAGAAGTCGTCCGTCAGATAACTCAACATGCATTATTCGTGGATAACGTTGATGTCGTCCGTCAGATAACTCAACATGCATTATTCATGGATAACGTACATGTCGTCCGTCAGATAACTCAACAGGCCCTCAGACATCGATGCTGGACCCGTGAAAATCTGGGGTAGAATAGGTCTTCAGCAACCCATACTTGCCGTAAAAGGCGACTATGCTTGTCGTAAAAGGCGACTAACGGGATCGGGTGGTCAGGCTCGCTGGCTTGGTTGATGCATGTCATCGATCCCAATTGTGCGGATCGAAGCTCATGATGTCAATCACTGGATTGTCTGGTCCAGACTCGATTATTTACAGCCCGCCGTCATATAGCTTGAATATTGCTGAGTGCGGCGTTAAACAACAAACAAACAAACAAACAAACATCGATGCTGGTCGTAAGAGGCGACCTAATGGATCGGGTGGTCAGACTCGGTGACTTGGTTGCGAATCTTCGTAACCCTGCGGCGTGGATCGATGCTCGAAACATCAATCACTGGATTGTCTGATCCAGTCTTAATTATTTACAAGCCGCCGTCATGTATCTGTGATAGTTTTAAGTGCGGCGTAAAACAGCTAAAAAAAACAACATTATTGACAAAATAGATTGTAACGATTGAAGATAAACACGTATGTGTAAACATCTACATGACGTAATGAATTTCGAAATCCTACAACGTACGTGTATCCCCGTGAAAGATACGAGTTAGTATTTATCTTCAGGCAACCCACGCTTGTCATAATAGGCGACTAAGGGGATAGGGTACTCGCTGACTTATTTGATACATGTGTAGGTCGATGCTCGTGATGTCAATCACTGGATTGTCTGGTCCATTATGTACAGATCGCAGTATTTGGAATATTGCTGATTGTGGCGAACTTACAAAGAAACTTACTTTTGTAACTTTAAATCCCGAATTGGGAACATGACTAAAATAAATAATGATTAAATTGTGTGCCTACGTGTGTACATGTTGTTATTCGACCGATCAAAGTAGACTCATTAAATCAGATAATGATTGTCGGAAATTAAAGATATCTCAAAAAACGTAATGGTATATGTCAATTCGTCAAGCTATCAAAAAGGGTATTAAAGTTTATGAGTAATCCTACCGTAATGTCTGATTATGCCTCAACATGTATCAGAAAGTTCACATTTCAGCAATCAACCATACTATTTCTGTCTGTGAAACCAAACCACCGACATTTCTGATTAATTCTAATGACGTATTCGGCCAATGATCTCAATTGAAGAATGCACGATGCTGTCAGATACGACGTGTTTCATAAGCAGACCGATATTATCGGTATCAGCTTGCACCGTAATGTTTCTTACTCGCCGTGTTTATGTGTGGAGTGTCAGATAGACATATGAGTTGATGACGTTAATGCTACTAATAGTTCTGTAGCTGTTTTTAATATGTGCTTGTCACGCGAATGCTCTGTGGGTTTGTGCCTGGTTGATCATGATATGAATTGAACGATGTTATCACACAGCTAATATACTGTATGGTTTAAATATATTTTTATTTCAACTGAAAATTGGGATCGGTATACAAGACAGCGCTTATTTGAATACCTCTCCCTACATTGAAATCAGGTAACAAAGATAGTGAGTGAGTGAGTGAGTTGGGTTTAACGCCGCTTTTAACATTATTCCAGTTATATCACGGCGTGTCAGCTTAATGTGGGAGGAAAGCCCGAAGTGATGCAGGTCTCAGACGTTTACCACTTCGGTGAAACCCACGAGCACGGGTATGGTGCTGACAAACCTAGAAACATAATTGGGGCGAACCGGGATTCAAACCCACAATCATAGGTTACTGGCGTGCCCAAGGGACGCAACTCTGCACAGCGAATCGCGGCGCCTTAGACGACTGGGCCACCCGTGCCCCCGGTAACAAAGATAGTCAAGGTGTATACATACATACTATTTACACAAAAATACCTTGGTGGTCAGTTATCACGCATGATCAGCAGTGTCTGGTTTTGATAGTCAGACTGATAGGGTTACACGTAATATTAAGTACTACATAATGTAGACAGGTACGTATATATACTGTATCGCAAAAGAAACGTCACCATGGATAGATATATGAGAAACCGTATTTGTCCAAACACTGTAAACATACTTCGAGACATTAAAAAGATGAAACCTCGCAACACTGATCATCAAGGTTGAAATTAAAGAGTCAAATGTTCTTAAAGTGAAACACAACACAAGTCTCTGAGAAAATGGCATCACAAGTCATTATCTCGTGTGTCCGCCATGTGCATTGATGACTGCCGTGCTACTTCGATGCATGGAATGGATGAGGCGGTTGATGAAGGCCAAAGGCACTTGGGCGCACACTCTGAGGAACGCCTGGCGCAGTTCAGCTGCAGGTAATTTTAGAAGCTTTGACAAAAATTACCCAGATATTTAAATGACAACTTTTCATACAATGTTACTTGGGGTGATGTTTCTTTTGCGGTTCAGTATATATTATATGTGAGGGTTTGGTGCATTATTTAAGTTTAGATCTACCAGAATTTGTCTTGAAAGTATGGACGGATAGAAGAATTTCTTGATGTTATTACACAGCTGAAGTACGATATACGTGGGACAATGTTATCACAATCTAATATTTTATTACACAGCTGATATACTATATACGTGTGATGATGTTATTATGCAGCTATTATACTATATACGTGTGACGATGTTCTTACACAGCTAATATATCATATACGTGTGATGATGTTATTATACAACAAATGTACTGTATACGTGTGACGATGATATTACAGAGCTAATATACTATATACGTGTGACGATGTTCTAATACAACAAATATACTATATACGTGTGACGATGTTATTACACAGCTAATATACCATATACGTCTGATGATGTTATTATACAACAAATACACCATATACGTGTGGCGATGTTATAACACAGCTAATATACCATATACGTGTGGTGATGTTATTATACAACAAATATACTATATACGAGTGACGATGTTTTTATACAACAAATATACTATATACGTGTGACGATGTTATTATACACATATATACGTGTGACGAAGTTATTACACAGCTAATATCCCATATACGTGTGACGATGTTATTAGACAACAAATATGCTATAGACGTGTGACGATGTTATTATACAACAAATATACTATATACGTGTGGCGATGTTAGTACACAGCTAATATACCATATACGTGTGATGATGTTATTATACAACAAATATACTATATACGTGTGACGATGTTATTAGACAACAAATATACTATTTACGTGTGACGATGTTATTATACAACAAATATACTATATACGTGTGACGATGTTATTACACAGCTAGTATACCATATACGTGTGACGATGTTATTATACAACAAATATACTATATACGTTTGACGATGTTATTATACAACAAATATACTATATACGTGTGACGATGTTATTATACAACAAATATACTATATACATGTGACGATGTTATTACACAGCTAATATACCATATACGTGTGACGATGTTTTTATACAACAAATATACTATATACGTGAGACGATTTTATTATACAACAAATATACTATATACGTGTGGCGATGTTATTAAACAACAAATATACTATATATGTGTGGCGATGTTATTATACAAAAAATATACTATATACGTGTGGCGA